GAGTTCGCCATCCTTGAATCGTGTGTCGGCAACGGTCCCGCACTTGCTACACGTCCGCTTGGCGAGGTCAGCACCGAACTCCTCGACAACCTGCTTCACCTGCGTGCCGAGATCAGTGCAGACAAAACGTTTCTCCCACACGACCTCGTTGCAGGACCGACAGTACCAGCGCATGGCGTCGACGGTGTCCTCCCCGCGCGGCACCTCCAGCACAATGCCCACCGTATCCTTGAATCGTACGGGACAGTGCGGCGTGTTTCCCGACAGGAGGAACAACGAGCCCTCGTGGATCGGAATGTCCTGGAACCGGGGCGGCGTGACGCTCGTGTCGACTGTCTTGAGCAGCATCGAGCCCCGGTACTGGTAGAAGAACTCCGGCGTCGTGTTGATATGGTAGTCTGTCCGCGCGTTGGGTCCGCCCACCACCATCACCGTGTAGCCGGCCGTCGCGGGCGACGATGGGTGATATACGCAGTAGTTATTCACGGGCGGCTGCAGCAGATGCGAGTTGGCTTCCAGCCTGTCTCCAAGCAAGTATAATCAGTTTGAAAAGTAGCTGGATAGAGAGGCGAGGCGGGGGCGGGGGAGTCACCATTTGGGGATGTTCAACGCTGGAGGGAGCATGTTGATGGAACCTGTCGAATTGGCTTGTGTTTCGGTTACTCTGTGAAGGAAAGAATAACAACTTTCAAAGCTATTTATAACCAGCTTGCCTTGCTTACCTTGCTGTCGTAGTCGTAGTTGATGACTCTCTTCTATTTTTTGTATGACTAAGCACGATGTCATTTGGATGACAGCGGAGATAACCGGTCTTAGCCGGGCCCGGAAATACGTTTTTGCGGAAGATTTCTGTATCGATTCAAGATAATTTTTGGAGGAAAGCAACAGCCACCAGGACCGGTTCATACGAGGAAACCCGACCATGGCGACGTCTCAGCCTCCCCTCCGCTTCACCGGCCACAAGAATTTGGTGCACCGTCTGGTGCTGGCCACCCTCACTGGCCGGACGGTGCACATCTCCCAGATCCGATCCTCGTCGCCAACGAATCCGGGCCTGGCGCCGCATGAGATTTCGTTTCTGCGGCTGCTGGAGTCTGTCACGAACGGCTCCGAGATGGAGATCTCATACACCGGTACCATCCTGGTCTACAAGCCGGGTCTGATCACAGGCAGCGCCGCGGGGCACGGCACCAGCGGCGGGTTCATCCGCCACGAGCTGCCTGCCGGGTGCACGCGCGGCGTGAGTTACTTCCTCGTCCCGTTGTGTCTGCTGGCGCCCTTCTCCAAGTCGCCGATGAAGGTCACCTTCACGGGGCCTGGTGTCATCACCTCCGCGACGCCCGCGGGGGATCTGTCCGTTGACAGCGTCCGCACCGCCATCCTGCCGCTGTACAACCAGTTCGGCATCTTCAACAACATCGAGCTCCGCGTGCTGCGGCGTTCGAATATCGGGGCGCATGGTAAAGGCGGCGCGGGAGAGGTTCAGCTGGTGTTCGGCCACCAGGTTCGTCTGCCCAAGACTCTGCACCTGCTGAACCCCGGAAGGATCAAGAAGATCCGCGGTGTGGCGTATTCGGTTGGCGTGGCGGCCTCGAACAACGCGCGGATGATCGAGGTCGCCCGCGGGGTGCTCAACCCCTTGGTTCCGGATACTTATATCTTCTCGGACGTCTCGTCCGCGCCGCTGGTGCCCGCACCCGAGCGCAACAACGCCTCCGCCAAGAAGAAGTTCGGCCTCGGGTTCGGCCTCTCCCTCGTGGCTGAGTCGTCGACGGGCTGCTTCTTCTCCGCTGACGTGGTCTCCCCGCCTTCAGGCGGACAGCCGCCGGAGGACATCGGAAAAAACTGCGCGTACCAGCTGCTCGAGACGATCGCCAAGGGCGGTTGCGTGCCCCCCGCCGCTGCGTCTACCATGGTCACCCTGATGACTATGGGATCAGAGGACGTCAGCCGTCTTCAGATCGGCCGCGCAGTCATCGCAGATGAGAACTTGATCCAAGTTGCACGCGACCTGTCCAAATTCGGAGCCCCAGGTTGGGGCATCCGCGACGCCGCCGGCGAGAACGAGGATGGAGATGTGATCATCAGCGTCGTCGGACGGGGGATCGGCAATGTCGGAAGAAAGGTTGCTTGATCGAATTGCCTATACCGTCGCCCCCCTCCCCCAAAAGCCTTTTCATCGCCCATACAATTATCCCTCCGCCCAACACATACCCATTGGGAAATACCTCATGGTCGGGCATCGTGGCCACAGCCCGCTTCGTTACAGCATTACGGGGCTCTGCATAGACATCCGTTTCAGGCGCTTGCTTGCCTGCTTGCTTGCTTGCGACTAAAATCTCGCAGATCAGGACATACATTACATCAAAAGTCCAGCCTGATGTCTTCTTCCACACGTCGACATTCATGACCCAGCTGTCCAAATCCCCTTCGATCTTGGACCTTGCACTATTCGTGCATTCTATCTGCACTGTATAATAGATACCCGGACAATAGACATCCATTATCTTGTTTGCAAGCCATTTTTTTCTTTCTGTAATTTGTAAGATACCATTATCTTGACTATTGTACAGGGAAATGGCAGAGACATGAGTAAAAGCGCGAATACGACAAATCAGGCTTCTATGAAGCCAGGATATTAAATAGATAGCAGTATATATATATATATATATATAATCGACCCTCATTGAGACTTAAGAATTGTCTATAAACATGGTTAATGAATATATAAAAAAAGAATCCACGCTCGGTACTCGCAATGCTTGGTTAATTGCAATCTGGTATGCAGGAGGCCGTCGAGAAAATACAGAAAGAAAATAAATATCAGCAGGAATGTGGTTGGAAAATAGTAATGATGAAATGGGAGAAAAGAGAGACAGAAAAAGAAAGAGAGAAAAAGAGAGGCATTATGCAGGCCCAAGTCGCGTCATCAGTCAGAAAGTCTTATATGTATAGTTAGTAGGCATGTTGGTCATGATATTCAAAAGAAGAGAAAAAGAAAGAAAAAAAGAAAGGAAATAAACTAGACTCCGAGCTCCGTGCCATGGGTTTTGATCTTCACCGTGATACGCCTTGAAATGCTGGCTGTGGTCTTTCTTCTTGTGTAGCGCTGGTTCGTCGTCATGGTATGGTCTTCTTGTAAGTTGGGTGTAGTCGTCGTCTTCCTATACTGGAATTGTCGTCACATCATCCGATAAACCAGATCCGATGCGAGCTCAGTCGTCGTGTCCAGCAGATTCCTGAGACCCTTCTTCCCTGCGGATATCTTTTCCTCTTTGGGACCGGTAGGGCTGCCCAGGACGCTCTCCATGGAGGGACAGTACTGCGCGAGATCGCGGATCTTGCATGCCGCGTAGTGGGTGACAAGCCTGCGAAGCTCGTTGTCACGCAACTGGGTCGCCGAGGTCGGTGAGATGGGTTCAAGGCGCGTCGTCTTGGTGTAGGTGTAGTGCAGGAGGTCAAGGATCATCCTTGCCTTGGCGCTCGTCAGCGAGGAGATGAACTCGTCGTCGTTGTTTTCGGAATCCGGGAACGACAGGTGAAGCAGATCCGAGTGCAGCTTCTGAAGGCAGAGCTGGGCCAGCGCCGGAATGAGGTACTTGGTCGCAAAGACGTAGACCTTGGCGTGGAAGACCAGGTACGGGAGTTCTCCAGTCGACCGCAGAGCGAGAGAACTGCGGTTTTGATGTCTGTAGGAGGGCCGTTGGTCGGCATATGCCAGACCGGCAAACTCACCCCACAGGTTCACTCCTTTGGGCTGCAGGGCAGGCTGGCGCGACAGTTGCTGTTGCTGTTGCTCCTCCTCCTGCTGCTGCTGTGGGATAAAAGAGGTGTCGATAAATGACCGCTCCCGGCCGGGAGACAGGGGCATGGCTTCCTCCTCGATATGGCCTGTTTCCTCTGCCGGTGCCACGGGTGATTCTTCTATCTCTTCTGCGGGAGCAGCTTCACCCGAGCCCTCGCCGCCAGATGGTTCATCAGGCCAGGCAGTCTCAAGTTCCGGAGGCGTCGGTGAAGCTTGTTGCCAGCTGTCCGACATATCAGCCGGGCCAGCAGTCTCGGTGGTGTCGATGAAAGCCTGCTCCGGCATGTCCTCCAGCGCATCCTGGGAGGTCTCGGGTGGCGGCGTCGTCGGGGGTGTCAGGTTGGACGCAAGGTCTTCCATCGACGTCTCAGTCGCCACACCCTTTCCCTTCTTCTTGTCCTTCTTGCTCTTCTTTCCCTTCTTGCTCTTGGGTGCCGAGCTGCCCGCTTCCATGCCCCAGGCATCGGCGTCTTCATCCGCACCAGGGGCTTTCTCTTTCTCGGTGTCATCCACGACCGGCGTAGACACCTCTAAGGGATCCTCTGGCGCAAGGGCCTCCTCTGCTCCCGCCTGGGTCGGGTCTGGCACTACTACCGGCGCTTCCTCTCCGGGAAACTTGGTATACTCCAGGGACGACTGGCGCTGGTGGTAGTGGTGGGGGTGGTCTTCCTTGGCCGGCGTCCCAACAGACCGCGGAGGGGTCGGCGCCGGAGGAGGCACGGTCGTTGACATGGAATCGGTGCGAATTATCCCCTTCCACGGGCTAGGGCCTGGTCTGGAGCTTCCGCCGCCTCCATACTCATCCGGCAATGCAGGCACGGTGTACTCGCCCCGGTAAGCATACTCGCAGAACGCGACAAAGGTCTCGACATCCTCTTCCTCGAGAATGGCAATTCCATGCTTGGATTCCCGGCTGGTGCCGTTGTTCATCAACTCATCGAGCGGCTTGGAGACATGCTGGGCCAAGCCACGCTGGATGGTGAGCTTGGTGTGCTTGGGGCCAACCAGGAAGGTGAAGGGTGGAGAATAGATGATGCTGAAGCCATTGGCAGGCTCACTGTCAGTGGGAATGTTGTCCATCATGATAGCAGGAGATGAATGCAGGCCGAAACTGGCATGTGCCCGTCAAGAGGTGCCAGAAGCGACGTTTATAAGGGAACAGGACAAGACAAGGCATGGGTAGGGAGAGATCGACAGATACACACCTGTTGTAATCCCGGCATGACTCCATTGGGCTGTAATCTGGGTGTTCGTCTATGTGTGAAGCTGCCTCACACACAGAGAACAAGTCGATCGGATCTCAAAAGCAGTTCGTCGAGGGGTGGTGGTTTGGTTGTTGTTGTTGTGGTGGTGGTGGTGGTCTCTGGCCTAGGCTAATATATATTTACCGCCAGTCTGCCAGAGGAAAGATCCTCACCACAGCACCACTCAGTCCCAACTTCCTGACAGCAAGGCGCTCCTCCTACTCCTCACGGTTGCCCCCTTTCTTTCAGGGTCATCTCGAAAGCTCCCAGCCATCCTCTGCGAGCGAGATGGGTCCTCATGCTCCAGCGGTCTGCTACGTGGGAGAAGCTGATGGGCAGCCCGGCCAGCAGAGCAGGGTTTAGTCGTGCTAGAGCAAGCCCACCACTGGGTACGGAGCATCCACTGCAGTAATTAGGTATTCTCGGGGAAACGGTACCCTCGAAACATGCCAGAGAGCGTGTGTCCACTGTCTGTGTGGGTTTCGCTGGGCGCTGTTTGTTGCCCGATCCCAGCCTTCTCCGAGACCCAATTGCGGGCCTGGCGGTTGCAGGAACGCGTTTAGTTTGTGAGTTGGCCGGGATATACCAGTTATTCGTGCTTTTGCCATTCGATGGCTGTTTTATTTTATTATTATTTTTGCCTCCTCGGTATTGGCGACCTCCTAATAATATTCGTTGCGTGCAGGATCCCCGATTCTTGATCTAGCGGTCTGGTCTGTGACGACTCTGTACGCCTGAGACGACCGAGTACGACTTCGAGGTCATCGAGATGGACTAGATTAACTATACCATGCCTCGGCTAAGATGATTGAAGTGGGAGGCAGATTGAGATAAGACATGGTCACTATCAGGTGGACATCCACGGTGTTGGACCGGTGGCAGCAGACGTGGCTATCCCGGATGACTCAAGACTGTAGAAATGGAGTACAGTGCTAATCCATTCTCCTGGCCATCACCCACAGGCGATGGTTTGGCCATGTGGGAAAAAAAAAAGGGTAGTCGTGGCTCGCCAGAGCCGTGAGAGAACGGTTTGTGTCGCTAAAATAGCATCATGAGAGGAGAAATCGAAGTCAGTCTACATATATACATACATGTCATTCTCTCCAGTCGCGAGGAGACAAGCAGGCCAGCGCGATCACCACATCACGCACCCCAAAAACCTCCAACCATTCAATTGGACCACCATCCATTTCGATCATGAAGGGAGCGTGTGACTGGTGCTGGAATGTTTAGTGGACAAGCCGAATCTCCGTCCTGCCTGGCTCCCACTCCCTCAGCCCCTCTCTGATACTATACCAGAAGCGCAGCCGAACACACTCCTGCCGGGCTGTCTCGATATCGCTGCGAGAAAAAGCGTCGCCTAGCGTCGCGACACATGCCGCGATACGGCCTTCGTTTTCGCGCTGCAGCGCGGCGATGACCGTCTCTGCCTCTGGTTGCGCGCCGGCCTCCTCGATGGCCTCCTGGACCTCCATCACCTCCATCAGCGTCTCCCTGTCCAGTGCGTGCTTGGTCGCCCCGTCCTCCGCCGTCACGTCAACCCCGTGCCACTCGCGGAGAAGATACTGCGCACGTTGTAGCGGGTCCAGCAGCGTCCGGTAAGCCTCATTGATGCGCGCGGATAGCGCCTCGGCCCGCTGCTTCAGGGGTCCCGCGGGGTACTTGTCTGGATGGATCCCGCTCTGCAGTTGGAGGAACTCGCGCCGCAGGTCGGCTGGCGTGATCTCGAACGCGGATGCCGGCGGCGGGCCCGTGGGAATCGTCCGTGCGAAGATCGTGTAGTAGTTGGTCAGATCGGGGAGGCCAGTCAATCCGTCCGTGTTGTTGTTCCTCCCGCCTGCTCGGTCTGTATCTCCCACGGACTGTTCATTTGGCGAAGACGACTTGACCGACGCATGACGTGTAAACGACAGTCTTGTCACTGTCGTTGTCGTTGGCGTAGTGCTTCTAATCGTTGGCCGTAATCCCCCCCCCTCGAAAGGCCTCGTGCTCTTCGTCAAGTGCCGACACACCAGACACGCATTCGCCCGGCACTGGCTGGGCCGCGTCCTCGTGGCGGAGAGAGGCAGCGGAGCCAGTCTCGTCGCTGTGCTGGACAGCTGGACTAATCTTTGTGGTCTTATCGACGCCATACTCAATCCTCTCAGGTGCAGCCCCCGGAAAGCAACTCGAAGCAATGGCAACGTACGAAGAGTAGCCGAGGATGCAGGAGGAAGAAGGAGAAGAAATCCATGCAGCCTTGGCGCATTACGTCATCAGCGTTTCTTTGTAGTATTTATTCAGATATTATTATTATTACAAGGTAAACTGCCCTGTTTCTTAATAGATAGAAGTAGCGTGTAAGGTTTATAGGGAGTTAGAGAGTGATTGGGGGGGGTTATCTAGGGAGACATCTAGGGAGGTGTTTTATTTGTACTTATTCTTTAGAGGCCTATCTTCACTCAATCCCCCAGAGCTTGACAGTGCGGTCATGGCCACAGCTTGCAATCCAACGGGCATCGTCGCTGATATCTGTGCTGAGAACGTTGCCCGAGTGGCCGCTTAGCGACTTGACGAGCGACCAGTCGTCAGCGCTGAAGATGTTGACGTTCTTGTCGAAACCGCTGCTCACGAAGAAGGTGCCGGCTTTGCGTGGCTGGGTAGTCGCTGCCGAGGTGCTGTCGTCCGCGGCCGCGGGTTGGGAAGTTGGGAGATTCGTGAATGAAGTCGACTCGCTCCCTTTGAACCACCGCAGGTCGGAGACCACGCTCTTGTGTGCTCCGATGCCGCCGATGTTGCGCACCTGGCGCAGATCCCAGCACTTAACCCATCCATCGCCCGACCCGGACAACACCCGGTACCCGTCTGCGCCCCAGTCGAGGCCGTAGATCTCGCGGATGTGGCCCTCGAGGATCATGACTGTGCGCCCGGTCCGCAGGTCCCAGATACGACCGATGCTATCCAGCCCACCGCTAGCAAGCAGGGAGCCATCGCCGTTGAACGCCACGGCATACACTTCACGTGAGTGGCCTTCCTGCAGCAGCAACTCGCTCGTCGTCTCCACGTCCCATAGACGCCAGGTCGTGTCAAACGAGGCCGAGGCCAGGTACCGACCGGACGGGTGGAATTCCAACCGGCACACGCGGCCCGAGTGTCCGGACAGTGTAGACAGCGGCTTGTCCGAGTTAAGAGACCACAGCGCGACGGTTCCTTCGCCGCCACCGGAGGCCAGATTGACCGCAGACTCGGAGACGGTGGATGACGGAAGCGTCGCACCGGGGAACCACGACAATCCGCCGACGCGGTCGGTGTGGCCGGTCAGGGTGGCCTTCTCCTCTAGATTGGGTACGGTAAGCAGCTTGATGCCTCCCGCCCAATTCCCCGCGGCGATCGTCTGGCCGTCGGGAGCGAACCGTGTGATGCTGACGGGTCGGTCGCCTGCAATCTGCGAGCCGTACAGCTCGAAACCCTGCAGTTTCTCCTTGATCGCCTTGCGATGTTTGATGTGTGTCCTTAGCGGGATCGTTGAATCCTCCTTTAGCTGGGCCACCCGTGCCCGGGCTCGCGGTAGCGAAAACCGGGCTATCGCCTGCCGGGTCTGGAGCAACTCCGGTGTCCCCTCTGTGTAGAACTCCTCCTGATGGTCGCCTTCCTCCTCCTCTTCCGCCTCGGCCTCGGCCTCTGCGATCGCCTCCTGCATTTCCACGTCCCCCTCCGCGGCGGCGGCTGCCTGCCGGTCCGCCAGGTCAGTCAGCAGCTCGCGGAGTCGGTCCCGTCGATCGACCGGCCCTTCCCCAAACAGTGTGATCGGTTCGCCGAGCTCTCGTAGTCGCGCCCGCACCCTGTTGTCGTCTGTAGGGACCGCCATGGCGGCAGCGCGTCGCTTGCGTTCGAACTGCGACAAAATCGCAGAGGCTCGTTCGGGAGGGATGCCTCCCGCAGCTGAAGGGAGCTCATAGTCACGGTCGACAGCTATTGAAATCAGCGTTGATTCAAGTCGGAATCCGGAGACGGAGAAAGTAACTGACGGATGTTGGCGAGATCCACGCCCATGTCTGTATCCTATAGCGCCACCCATCGGGCATCAGCAGCAACTCCTAATAGCATCTCAAGCCAGTGCAACTGTTCGAGGCCGAATATATCGGTAACGAGACGCTCGAATTCTGGTCTAAAGCATGAATTTGGAGGGCTGAATGGAGCTTCAAGCTGGGGGGATCTGCCTACCTCCGCCTCCTCGACATACGCTTGTCGAGCCGGATGCATCATCTTGCCGGTATCTGTAGTCCCAGTCTGGAGAACGAAAGCGAGGAAATATCAAAGAATGAATAAATGAATCGTTGTAGGCAGCGTCTGCCTCGTCTGGAGAGCAGCGAAAAGGTCCCGTGTGGAAGAGTTGGCGGGGAGGAATTCAGACCGGGGGAAGTTTAACACTGCCTTGCGTTCTACAAGGAGCTTCCACCACCAAGCTGACAGGCACGAACAGCAATTGGGATTATCCCGTCTTGATAGACAGGTGAGGGTGGTCTATTCCTTTAGATTCTTGATAAAATTATTTTGTTTTCTTGTCTATTCCACCTGTGGAGGTGGATCTGGTGGTCCTCGCTATCCGAACATCCCTATGGCAATAACTTCACAATGCTATCAAATACCGAATACTAACTATGATGGCCATCTCTACTAGAGACAAGGTAGGATACCTATTCTATACCCGAGTTCTAAAGGCAGAACTGACTCTGAGAGATGGTGTCTCCCTAGACTTCTGACGATAAAAAAAATCCATCGCGATAAGAACCCGCTACCACCCTGCCTTCCACCTTGTCGCGTTCACCAACTGTACATTCACACGTCTACATATTGTTGCAAACCGATAGGTGTATTGGGGGATAGTATACTGGCTATATACTGCAATTCTCTGGTGGTTTGAGGTGGTTCGCACTGTATTCTGTGATAAAGCGGTGCGTGCAGATGCTTGAGCAGATTTGGCCCTCCGCTCGACTACCGCTGGGGGGCCCCCTGTGACGACCGCCGTCGATGAACTCGTTACGCCTGGTCTGCAGAGCCTGCAGTGGCTTGGACGGATTGTCGATTGTCTCTTCAGGCTTGGTGCCTGCGAAAAGAGCACGACTGCCGACATCGAAGCGCCCGCGTTTGCCGTGGTGTGTATTATCGACGTCGACCAGACCCTTCCATTCGACACGTCAGCACTGCTCTTCTTCCCCCGATAGCTGCTCCGATCCGCCGCGCAGGATCAGCTACCGAGTCGCGGTCTCATCGTCCGGCAAGGGTCGTCGCTTTCACCCGGCCAAAAACGTGTACGACTTCGATCCCGCGGTTCACGATGCTTTGGGACTCGTCAACGAGGATGACAACCCGGTGACACGCCGCAAGCAGCGGCCAGATAGTGGAGAGGATGCCTTCTTCGTGAGCAAGATTGGGTGCCCGCAATCGGGAGCACAGGAATTAACCACCGTTGCGTTCGGTATCGCGGACGGGGTGGGCGGCTGGACCGAGTCGCGCGTCGACCCGGCAGATTTCTCGCACGCGCTGTGCGGCTATATGGCCAGGTCGGCGCTGAGTTGGGAGTCTCCCGCGGACACCCTCAAGGCCAAAAGCTTGTTGCAAATGGGATACGACCAGGTGGTGGCCGACAAGTACATCCAGGCGGGGGGGAGCACCGCATCGGTGGGCATTGCCCACAGCGATGGAAGAGTCGAACTTGCCAAGTAGGTCTCTTCTTTCCATACACACGCATATTTACACACACATATATATATATATATACATATGTATAAGAATACTAATTCTACTACAGTCTCGGCGATTCCGGGTCCGTCCTCCTCCGTCTAGCCGCCGTACACCACTACTCCATCCCCCAGACGCACGGGTTCAACACACCCTACCAGCTGAGCATCATCCCGCCGCAGATGCGCAAGCAGGCGTCCATCTTCGGCGGCTCGTTTCTCGAGGACCTCCCGCGCGACGCCTCCGTCACGAACATCCACATGCAGCACGGCGACGTCCTCCTCCTTGCCACGGACGGCGTCTTCGATAACCTCAACAACCAGGATATTCTGAAAAATATCACCTCCCGGATGCTCTTCACCAAGGCGTGGACTGCCACCGTGCACTCCGGGATGAAGGTCTCCGAGAATCTCGCGGATCTCACCCGGTCGGGCGGTCTTTCCTCCTTGATGCCCGCACAGGCGAGCCATGAATATTCCCTGCAGGGAATGCTTGCCGCCTCGGTAGCCAGCGAAGCGAAACTCGCCAGCGTGGATATCCGCCGCGACGGACCCTTCGCCAAGGAGGCCCAGCGCTATTACCCTGGGGACTGGTACAGGGGTGGCAAAGTGGATGATATTTGCGTCTTGGTCGTGGTTGCCGTGGAGGAATGATACGGCCGCATCTCGGACTATAAATCCTACGACGATTTTTATATAGTATAGACAAATAGACTAATTCATATCCCAAATGCCTAGGTATTAATAATTACGCCGTATTGTTCCTCCCAAGTATGCAAGAACTTATACTGGGCTCTCTAAACATCAAGCCGGTGCTAGAAGTTACGGGGGAAAGGTCTTCAAATTCCTGATGGAAAACCTCGGCATGAAATAAGAAATAGCAGTCAATGTACAAACAAGAGTAAAGAATAAAGCAGGGCTTTTAAATTTCAACTCTGCGTTTCAGCACCACTGATTTGAGGAACCCGGAGGAATTAGGCATGAAAGCAACAAGCATGATAAGAAACAGACAAAGAGGAGAAAAGAGGCGGAGATAGGAAAGGAACAAAAAATTGAAACAGAAATTAAAACAAAAGATCTATGTCGCCGCTGCAGCCTCCTCCTCCTTGATGGCCTCCTTCTCTTCTTCTTCCTCCTTCTCCTTCTTCTCCTCGGCGGGAGCATCAACGGGGGCCTGTTCCTTGGCTGAGGGCTCAGCGTCAGGCATGGGCTGGTCGACAGGCTCCGCAGCGGCGGGCTCTTCAGTCTTCTCGTCGCCGCCCTCGGTCTTGGCCGGGGTGCTGGCGGTCTCAACGTCATCCTCATCCTTGTGGGCGACACCGTTGGTCGTCGCGGCACCGGCCTTGGACTCGACGTCCTTCTCCTTATCTTCCGCGGCCGGGGTGGCGGCAGTGTCCGAGTCGAGAACCGTCTTCCACTTGGAGAGGATGTCGATGGCGCGGCGCCGGAAATTGAACTCCTCGTCGCGCGGGATGGAGCTCAACTTGACGATCATCCGGAGCACCTTGTTGATCTTGGTCAACCGGATGATCGACACCTCCACTTCGTCGTACGCCTCAAGCTTTGCAAAGTACCCTGACATGGCGGTCATTTCCTCCTCCTTGGGAGGCTGGTCACGCGAAATGAAGCCTTTCTGAAGCCTGTGGCGGATGTAAAGGACTGAAAGAAAAAGGATTAGTGTCAGTGTCAAGTATCGCAATTGACTAGAAAGAAAGGACAAGAAAGGCAATCAGTACGTACCCTCCTTTTCCTTCTTCACTTTGGCCGCCTGAGGGTCAATCTGCTTCTCGACCGGTTTCTCCTCCTTAGCCTCCTCTACGGCCTCTTCGTCGTCATCTGCCTTCTTGGCGCCAGCCTTGGCCTTAGCCTTGGTCTTGCCAGTACCGGGGGTCTTTTTGCTCGTCTCGGCGGCGGGAGGCTTGGGGGTGGTTAACTTGAGCTTCTGGGTCGTTTTGGGAGTCTTGGCCGGCTGTTCAAACTCATTAGAGGACTAGATCGAAACGAAAGCTGGTGGTCATAAGAACCCTTACCTTATCCGACTCGGCATCGGCGTCGGCGTCCTTCTTGCGTTTCTTCGAACCCTTGGACTTACTGTCCTCGTCGACATTGTCGACATCCATCTCGTCCGCCCCGTCACCCATGTCCGTGCTCTTACGCTTCTTCTTCTTCTTCGCGTCCCGTTCGGCCTGGGCGGCAGCCTTGGCTGCGGCCTGCGCCTCGCGTTCCTCTTCCTCCTGTTCCATAGCCCGCTGGTGCTCGTTCAACAGCTCCTTGAAGTGCTTGAGATCATGGCCCTCGGAGGCCACACCATATGCAGCGATCAGAAGCTTGCTCTTGCCCTTTTCCGAGACATCCTTGCAGGTCTCGGGATCCAGGGGGGTCAGATCGGTATTGGGAATCCAGGCACTAAATCCCAGTCAGTCATGGTCTTGTTGGCCGTCGCTTAACCTTTGAAACCCCCCCCCCCCCCCCCCCCCCCCCCAAAAAAAAACAAGAAAATAGAAAGCAACTTACAATTCATTGGTCTGCAAGAACATGACGGGAAAAGTGCGTTCGTGGGCTCTCTTGCCCTCATCCGCGTAATCTTCCCGGTAAGTTCCGTCCGGCCGCATGGCGGTGACGGGACGCGTCGTGAGCAAGCTCTCTGGGAGCATGTCCTCGTCACAGACAATTGAGGGCCACGGTGCAAAGCTACGCAGGCGGGCCAAGTAGTACTCTCCGGGCTTCGCGTGCAGCTGTGTAGTCCGGACCATGGACTTCCTCCGATTTAGCTTCGACTTGTGCTCTGGCACGCCCCCAGTCGACTTGCGTTTGCCATTCGAGGCCTTCTTTGCAGAATTGGGGGTGCCGTTCACTTCGGGCGCGGCCGCCTCATCATTGGTCTTCGTCTCTGTCGCGTCGACAGGCGCGCCGGTTCCTTCTGTCTCCCCTTCCACGGGCGCAGTTTTCTGGGCAGTAGTGGTAGCGTCAGGAGCATCGTCTAAAGCGAAAGAGCAAGCAGGGAAAAAACCCCCCCGCCGCCTGTTAGCCATACTGAACGGCAGCTTTCGTCACGGTTCCTGGGAAGAAGGAGACGCGATGGAGTAGAGGGAAGGAGAAAGGAAAGAGCGAAAAAAAAAAGAAAGCCTTACCGGTGGTATGCTCCGCGCCATTTGACTTCTCCGCGCCCTGTTCGACCGCGGCTTCCGGCGCCGAGTCTGTGGGAGGAGCTGCCTTGGGCTGGGCGTCGGGAGCGCGCTCGACGGCCGGCTGCGCAGCGTCGGCGACGGCAGGTGTGGAGGCAGCAGCGGTGTCTTCAGCCATGCTGGCGCAGTAGACAGGAGCCGAGATGAGATAGACACGAGATGGAAGGAAGGGTGAATTGGATGAGGGGAGGGATGGCGATGGGGGAGGGGGGTGGTGTTCAGGAAGCTCGGTTGGTGGAGAAGCTGTGGTCGCGAGGAAATGGGCCTGTGGCGGGTAGACGGAGAACGCGTGCACTTTCAACACCCCAAAAAAATACGGGCGATGCGCGGGCACCACCACCGCAATGACGCAACGGGGGGTTTCCAGACAGCAGCACAGAACAACGACCGGGACACCGCTTCGGGACGCGTGCGTAGACTCGGTTTATTGATCAGATCGAGGGATGTGCTCGAGAGATGGAATTTTGGTGTTGTAAAAAAAACAAGAAAGGTAGTCAGACGCTGGAGACAACCCCGAGTACCGATCGGCAGTAAGACGCGAGGAAGGAGAGAGAGACGAAAAAAAAAAACAGAGAGACACGAGATGATCCTCTGGAAGAGGGAAGAGGGTATCGCGTCGGCGCCGAAGCAGAGAGTCCCAAGTTGCGACAGGGACAGCTGGCAGCGCGGGTAGGGGTCCCAAACACAGGGATTGGCGCTTCACAACCCAAAGCGGAGAGACAAACCACAAGGCGCAGGAGAGAGCCAGACAAGAGGACGCGTCACGACGAGATCGAGCGACGAGAAATCACCCGGGGGAATTTCTACTCCGTAGACTGTCGCTCGTTCGGTCTCGTAGTAAGCGACTGACTGCCCTTTTTGCTCGCGGTGGCCGATCGCTACTGTAGAAGTAAGCGGTCGGGGAGAGAGGGGGGAATCTGTGCCAGACAAGACTGCAGACTTGGAACTCTCCGAAGGTATCACGATGCGAGTGCACAGTAGAAAAGAAACGGGAGGATTCAAGACAGATTGCCAGTCGAACAAAGTGTCTCTCCCCGCGGTCTGGGAGCGCGTTTTCCTCTGCGTGAAAGTGTTAGCCTCTTTGAATGGGACGACCGACAGCCAGAGTCTTGAACGGGAAATTGATAGTCACCAGAAGATGAGTCTTCGTTCACATACGCCCACGAGGGGGAGGGTTTGAATACGTTCGACTATTGGGAGTGGTTAGAGTGGTGGTGAAGAATAGGTAGCCGGGTACTTTACTTACAGCTCTCCAGCAACGGAAATCCACGGGAATCAAAGCAGCAGCGTCGAGATACTTTCTCGGGCTTCTCAGGTAGGTGGTCTGCTATGGTGAGGGGATGTTGAGGATGAGAAGAAGCATTGGACCTGGTCCTGCGAGGAAAACTAACTGTCGACGTAGATTATTAACTACGTACCTAGGTACCTGCTAAGCTGCCCGCCACTCGAATCCCGCCATCTTCACCAACAATAGACCATACAATACCACCATCACCACCACCAGGGTTTCTCAATAAGGACAAACAATAGGAACTAAGGTCTGATATAATGGGATTTACAAATTGGATACACTACAATAGAGGGGCTGGTTCGATATGACCATATTGACTCATTAATATTCATAGGTTTTGTTCGAGTGGAACCTGATCCTCTCAGTAGATTCTAGTGAGATAAATGCTACCTTTGTATGTACAACGGCTGTAGACAGCAGGATGCCAGATAGAGGGAAGGGGTATAAACCTCTCCAAGCAATCAGTCTGGGCTCCAAAGGTAACCAACATAACGGGTATCGTATCGTCACAGCATATGAACCGAAGAACTTAAACATTATATACCTGGGTATAGTTATGAAGCGCGTTATCATATACGTAAGCGGTCATTGGGGATACTGCCTTCTCACGAGGGGAGAATCGCATATCGCCGGGCATCGTCGTCAGACCAATCGTCCTCATCCTCAAGCATGATGTTCATGGCGGCGGGCTCCGGCTTGTGGATGCGGACTAGCCACAGGAAGTAGTCCTCCAGCGGAAGGAGGTTGAGCAGAATCGCGTTGTAGCGCCAGCCCAGCCCACAGACGATCGCGCCGGCGACCGCGTCCAGGATGAAGTGGTTGGCTGTGGCCACAATGGCGACCAGGATGGTGAAGGGATAGGCGAAGCCAATAAGCCAACACGCCAGGCGTCGCCACGAGGGAATTCGGAGTCCAAGCGTACGGGCCAGGCGAGAGCGTGTGATAGCCCTGTGATGCTGAGCGGGCAGTGGAATGGTCATGATAGTCATTCCGATCATTAAGGAGTAGCCGAAATGCAGCGAGGGCATGGCAGCTGAACAGATAATCATCAGCAAGAGACTGAGGAACAACCAAACAGGATTACTACAACAAGTTCTACTTACCATACTGATTACAAAAGCGATTTTCGGTCCAAACGCTACCTGCGCCATTGACGCCATGGACGGTATCAACGAACCCGTAGCTGCGGGCCAGGTCTCCGGTAGGACCCTCGACGCTCTCGTCGCTCAGCAGCCGCGGGGGCATGCAGGGCCAGAGGGTGAAGACGACAAAGGCCAGCAGATTGCATACTGCCATCGTCCGGCGCCGGGCCTGGTAGAGTAGCGGGCCACCGGGAGACCCGCGCACGACGCCACTCGGCTTGCCCAACTGCGACTCGCCCAGCCGGTTACGGGTGGTGGTATAGTAGTAGAGCCAGACGAGGAAGGCGATGGTGCCGGGAATGTGGATGAACGAGTAGATCCAGTTGATGACGGCCATCAGCTGCGGGTGACCCAAGAAGAATCTCTGGATCGACACCTCCCAAAAGACCCCAAGCCTCTGTTCGATCCGGACGAGCTGCAGCGCATGTCGCCGTGCAACATCGACCGTCCCTTCCTGTAGCGTGACAGCCGTGAAGGCCCGACCTAGCTGGTACGTCTGGACGAACTGTCAGCGCCTTATCCAGGAGGGACCGATAATATCAGACGAAGAAAATGCCAATCTTACCCAGTAGACCAAAGCCCAGTACCAGCACTCCACCAAGAAAGGCAATCGGCGCAGCAGGCGACTGAGCAGACGGTTCTGAAAGACAGCAGTGTTGGGACAAGTCACCGTCCAGCTTACCAGCCCCAAGCTGATCTGTCGCTGGTGCCAGCGATTCTCGGCATCAAAGCGTGAGGAAAGCGAAGAACCCAGCAGGCGATCCTTGACCGTTGGACTGGAGAGACCAGACTCGAACAGGTCTGGCGAGGAACCCCGGGAAATCTCAGCAGAGCGTCGTCGAGTCCATGAAGGGCGTCGAGGGGAAGACGAAGAGGGGGAGGAGGGGGAGGAAGAGGAAGGCGAGGCGCGGTTGATCCAAGTACCTCCAAACAGGAGCACCACGACGACCAGCGGCTCAAGAAAAGCACCAGCTCCCATGGGAAAATACTTGAGAGTTGTGACAGTCGATAATACAGTGCAGACAGTCGGAAGACGGCGGAAATAATAAAAAAAAAATTATGTACTCAGTCTAGGTAGATAAGATACCTAGGTATGCAGTGGGAGGCGAAATGGGAGACGACCGCTTATAAACCAGAACCAGAATCAGAACCACCAGAAGCAGGATTACGATCACGATCACACAGTCACGATCACAGCTGTCAGCTCTCAACCCTGGACAGTGCCGTTCCCTTGGGAGTGGAGAATCCTGGCTTTTGTACAGATACGAACAGCACTAGGCTCCTCCTACATACTCCCAGTTGCTTGCTATCCCGTCTCTCTCGGCAGCCGAGACTCCGTCCTCGGTACTCCGTTATGTCCAGAAGTGGGTATCTGTGCATAAACAGGGCAGCTGGATGGGCAACCTGGTAGCTCCTAGCAGCTACTGGCAGCTGGCGGTGAATCTTGGTAGGCTGATCGACTGTAGGGCAGATCCGATTCATCCATGGTTGGAGCAATCAGCGTCGATTTCGGAGCAACCGGATGCTGATGGAGGACTCCACCCGTCTGAGTAGTAATGGAGGAGAAAAGCCTTGGCCATTGGCCTGAAGAATTAACCTCGAGGTTCTTACCAGCGAGTTGGATTTTGTCGGCAGATGGTAGGGTGGGAGTAGGTAGGAACAAGGTACTAAGTTAGGTGGTTGGGTACCTAGTTTTCTACCTCCGTTTTACCTAGGGATTTCGATACTCCTAACTTGGTAGGCACCAGGTGCTCTGGGAAGGAGATCACACGAGCAGATGCCCGAAACTTGAAACTTGAAAGTCACATGAGTCATGACAACCCGCTGGATTCCGGTCTAGCCGATAGTCTTGGCGGTCTTGGCGGTAAGGGTCTGCATAACATATAGTGCTAATTAAGCATTGCATAACTTATGTCCACTTGTCCGATAGCTAGCCGTTTATGGTTAGTGGGACCGTGACTCAGCTTGACAGTTTATCACCAGCTTCACTCCTGCCTCGTCTACTCCGTATGGAAACAACTTTCTCGCCTTACTAAAGCGCCGTTGAATCTCTCTATAACCACTAACTACCAACTACCTAGGTCCCTAGGTACGGAGACTAGCTCCCATAGCACACTGCCAGATGACGTCACTCTGAACACAGACAGCTTGCGCTCTGAGGCTGCTAATGCCAGTTGATGCTTTTGGTGTCTTGCTAACCATAAAGCAATGACACTTGCCTTACGTCAAAAACAAGGCAAGCTAAAGTTACACTCCATGACTGAAGATGGCGGCAGATATCAAAACAGGTGTTTGAATGAGAATCTAGATAATAGTGCTAACTACATAGGTACTTGATACCAAGGCTTCCTAAAACAGGCTGCCTTCTAGTAGACTGAACTTTACAGGCTCACTTAATTCTTCTCATCTACACACCAGATGTTTTCCGCTCGTTGCAACACTATTTCAACCACAAGTCGCCTATGGAATACCCTTTCACATGGCTCATCGAGGTGTCTGTCGGGCATCTCGACTGCGAAGCAAGGCGTGACCTTGCTGCAGGATAAGAACGATGGTTTTGGCTTTGTTCGCTCGAATCCCCGGCCGGCCAAACCCAGGACCAAGGGGGTCACAGAGATCAGAGGACCATACTATACCGTATGCCGTGTTCTATCCAGGTGTTTCTTGTGGCAAGGACCTCTCCGCTGATGGGAATCAAGGTAATGGGGAAACGGTACCTAGCTGACGTGCTCGAGACGTAAGTGTGAAGGCGGAGGCGGCATGCCTGACATTTCTAAGATTCAGCAGGATGGGCAGCTATATCGACGGCTTGAAGTTTGCAGGCGGTCAGCCTTTTTCTTCTATTTAGTGATTTGAAACCTGACAAATAACAGGATCGTTCTCTCTCTTCCAGGAGCAGCCACTCCGGGATATGATTGAGCTTTCCCACGAGCACAACGTCTACGTGTCGACGGTATTCCACTGCCTAACACTGCCTAATTTACAATATATATGATAACGAGTTAACGATTTGATGGAACTAGGGCGGCTGGGCAGAGCATCTTCTAACACACCCAGACGTCAACAGCATCTTCGACAGATATCTTCAGAAGTGCAAAAATCTAGGGTTCGTCTTTCCCACAAGGCTGTACAGACACGGGTTTTTGACTTGTGCAGCTTCGACGTGATTGAGCTCTCGTCCGGATTCCTCTCTTTACCCCCGGACGACTGGCTGCGTCTCGTCGACAAGGTCCACTCGTACAAACTGACGGCCAAACCCGAACTGGGAATCCAGTTCGGCGCCGGCGGCGACACCCCAGCAGCCGGGCTTGAGGCCCTCGGCACCTCGGACGCAGGCAAATTGGTTGATTTGGGCCACCGGTTCCTGAACGCCGGCGTAGAGCGCCTGATGATCGAGTCCGAGGGTATCACTGAAAACGTCACCTCGTGGCGCACCGACGTCGTCTCACAGGTGATGCAGAAGCTGCCTCCGGAACGCGTCATGTTCGAGGCCGCAGACCCAAAAGTCTTCAACTGGTACATCCGCGAGTTCGGCATCGACGTCAATCTCTTCGTCGACCACAGCCAGATCGTCCAGCTGTCCTGTCTGCGCTCTGGCATCTGGGGAACTGCCGATACCTTTGGCAAAGTGGTCTCATTCCGGCCAGAGTAGACAGATATCTATATGCCACTGCTATATATAAGTTAAATCAATATTTTGAAGCCCAGAAATAGCGTATAGCCATCAATATGTATTAACAATCACTCATTAATCACTCGATGGCGTCAATGGCTGAGTCAGCAGGATTACTCCGGACATCCGCCACCAGCTCGCAGCAACAAATCCGGGGATGGATCTGCGTCTCTCGTCCCTTAGCGACCTGTCGACAGGATCAGGCATCTCTCGCACCCTCGCAGCCGGTTTGTGCCAGCGATACCAATTGGGAACGATTGAAAAAAGGGCGTCTCCGATGAACGCGTACTCTCATGGTGTGAGACGACGATTGCGACTCTCCTTGATCCCGGGCGGCCGGTAGGTTGTCTGCGGATCTACGATTGGGAAAAAAAAAAGAAAAGAAAAACCAGCAGTCGCGATCCGGGAGTGTTTAATTTATATTATTACTTGCCATGCCACGGGCGAGCACGATCCCTGGCGCGCGTCTTCGCTGTCGCCAGGCGTGCGACAGCTGCAAGCGAAGGAAGCAGAAATGTAACGGCGAGCAGCCGTGTGCGATCTGCGTGCAGCGAAACAAGGCGTCGGAGTGTCATTTCTCGGACAAGCCAGCTCGTCTGCTGAAGCCGGACCATGGACTCAAAGAGAGCCGTACAACCGCGGCAGCGACGACGACAATGACCACGACGCCGAGCCATCCAGCAGCGGGGCTGCTCAGCGAAAGCATGGAAGGCCACTCTACCACTGTCCAGGGAGAGACAGCTATGGACCGATTGCTGAACGCGCTGGAGGACCAGGGCATGGCCACGCTGGACCAGAGCAGCCGGGGAGGCGACAAGGACGGGGCGGCCCCCGTGCCCAAGGTATCACGACTGTTGCGCGACGGCCAGGGGAAGTTCATGTACGTCGGCGACTCGGCGAGTCTGTCGTTTCTGCAGAGCGTGCGGCGTATTGTCGCCTCGTCGATTGGCAGCTGCGGCTTTACAGAGGATAACCTGCGCCATTCGATGTTGGAAGCTTTTCCCATGGCGCCGACCGCGCAACCGGGCGGCCTTGTGCCGCCGCCAGCCCGCGAGGACGCCCGGGCGCTCGCTCATCAGTACGTGCTGGCCACCAGTCCCTTGTTGGACCTGTTTGATCTGAACGAATTCTATCCACGGCTCGCCGATTGGGTCGAGAACCCTACTGGAAATGAGGAACTCGTCAGCTCGATCTTCTACCTGGTGCTCGCCATCGGCGCACAGGTCTCGAGCACCGATCAGACGCTGGCGGAGCAGTACTTTGTCAGTGGGCGCCATTTGGCGTACGCCGCGTTTACAGAGACCCCCAGCCAGTACACGATTCAGTCCTATATCCTTATCTCCATGTACATGCTGGGCGCGTGTCGCCGGAACGGCGCGTTCATGAATCTGGGCATCGCGCTCCGCGCTGCGTACGCGGTCGGCATCCACCGCAAGGACGCCAACGCCCTCTTTTGTACGAGGGAACGCATCGCTCGAGAGCGGGTCTGGCGCAGCCTGCGGATGTTGGATCTCTTCCTCAGCGCCTCGCTCGGGCGCCCTCCCGGGACCTCGGACTTTGACTACGACCAGCGCGAAGACCCCAGTGCACAGGTGCCCGCACAGCAGCATTCCTCGTCGGACGAGCACGTTGCCGCCGCCGTGGTGGCCCTGTGCCGCATCTTCGAGCGCATCCTGTCGGACGTCTACATGAAACAGGTCGTCTCAATCAGCGTGGCGGAAACCATCTCCAACCAGCACCGCCAGTGGGTGCTGCGCCTCCCGGATTTCCTCAAGGCGCAGAGCGAGGGTGTCGACGCCCAGCAGCTTGAAGGGGCCCTCTCCGTCGCGCACATCTTCGGCTCGTACTACTGGTCGATCATCCTCCTGACGCGGCCCTTCTTCATCTACCGCGTGTCCCGGTACGCCAAAGGCAAGAGCCACAGCCAGAGCGGCGCATCCAGCGCCATCAGCACCCCGGACGCCCTCGCCGGTAATTCGCGCGTCTCGCTGTTCGCCGACGCGTGCGTCTACTCCGCCCTGCGCGGCCTGGAGGTCGTCAACGGTCTGACGCGGTTCCCCTCCCTGCCCCGTCGCCTCCCTTTCCTCATCAACTCCGTCTTCAACTCGGCCGTCGTGCTCGGCGCAGCCTTCTTCGCCGATTACGACAGCCTCCTCCCCTTGGAAGACGGGCTGACCAAGGCCGAGCGGTTTCTGGCCATCTTCGCCCCTCACGACCCGCACGCCCGCCGGTTCATCCAGATCGTGGAATACCTCCGCGGCGCGGTCACCGAGTACGTCCGCTGCCGCAACGCGCAATGGATGGCGCGCCGCAGTCACCAGGTCGACCAGCTGTTCGGCCAGGTGGGCTCCGCAAAGGATGTGCCGCCTCTGGACCTAGCCGCCCCGGCCGTCGACCTAAGCAGCCTGGAGGATCTCCGTCGCGCCAGCGAACAGGGTGTTTTGTCTCCATCTTCACTAGACAAGTACTCGCGCTCTTCTCTCCCGTCGCAGCCTCCGCCGGAGTCAGCGTCAACGTCAAACACGAATACAAATACAAATATCACTGCCGGCAGCAGCAACAGCAACGGGCCGCCCCCGACCGACGTCTGGGACGCGGCCTTTGACAACGTAGCCCCGGGACTACAGTACCCCACGCAGTTGACGCCCGAGGCCATCTCCGCCCTGACCACCACGGGGCTCCCCATCGGCTGCCCCTCGCCTGGCGGCACAATCCCTGGCCCCGGGCAGCCGCCTATCGGGGACCTTTCGGCCTCGGGCGAGGGTCGCACGCCGCTCTCCGACGTTGTATTTGCGGACAACGGCCTGCTGTACGTTGCGGAGGATTTGCCGGGCTTCGGCATGTGGGGGAATTCATGATATATCTAACGAATCGTTTTGAACATATCAACACCCTTATGAAGCAACTTGATGAGTAGATCGCATTGATCTACCGCCCCTACTCCTGCAGGCCTACTACCAGCGGCCCTCACATTCCAACCAGGCCCAGCAACAACCTGACCAGGAGGACACGTTCTGGCTTGCGGGTACCCCCTATACAGATAAGAGAGTAACCCGAAGACGATACACCCGAGGATCAGGCTCCTCACGCCCAGCCACAGAGGCAGGTATGAGCTGTCCTGGAGAATATACATAGTTTATACATGACATGATGAGAATTGAATGAACTCCTGAGAACACTGATGGGGTGATGAGCTATAGAGTTAATGAATTGTTTTCAGCCTACTTGACTAGTTTTCACTTTCCATCGACCAACTCGATTGAATTACTGAATCTGAACGGCTAATATTCAAACGGGGAAACTCGTCTCATTGCAAAGGCTGGCTGGCTGACTTCGTTCAAAATAGAATAGGGTGTTGTCATGTGTCAGGGCAAGAAAGGGGGGCCGGAGAAGACAATAATAGGAGACAGCTAGCTAGAATTCTAGAATCCAAATTCCTATGTGCCATAATAACGAACGGGGGAAGTGAAAAAAAAAAAAAAGGGGGGGGGGTGGTCAAAAATGTATGTCTGGAAAGAAGGAGGAAGTGCATGGTGAGCGGGTTGGAAATTATATACGCCAAATTGAAGGCAAAAAATTGTACATTGATTAGAAGCCGAAGGGGTTTGTAGGCGCTGAGAATGATTAGTATTTATATTTTGCATGTATATTTTGCGTACACAACTTACTGGCTTGCGCAAGGTTCGCCCTGAGACCTGTGGGCTGCGGTGCGAGCTTCTTGGGCGGTTCATTCTTGACACCGAATCGGACGGGGGGTGCAGGGCCCGTTTTCTGGGGCTGCAGTGGCGCCGCAGTCGGCTGCTGGGGGATCGGGGGCACCGGGGGCGGCGAGATAGAAGTGAAGGGGGAGCTGTGCATGCCATTTACCCCCGTGGGCTGCGGCTGGAGAGCGGGAGGAAGAACCGAGTTGATCCCCGTCTGCATCGGCTGCTGGTAGCTGGGTACAAAGCCGGTTGGTTGAGGCGCAAGGCTCTGGAAGGCTGGCTGCTGTCCATATCCGGTGATTTGCGGCATTACTCCGTTCTGGAATTGATTCTGGCCCATAAAGCCCGTCGGCTGCGGCTGGATCATGGGCTGGAAGCGTTGCTGATTGAGCTCGCCTAAGCTTTGGCCTGGAGCAGCAAGCTGAGGCATCGTATGGGGAATCCCGGTCAACTGCGGCTGCAGAGGCGGCGGCGCAAAGGGGCTCTGCTGGACAAAGTTTTGCGGAGCCGACAGTGGCCGCTGGGGAGGGGGTGGGAGCAGAGAGTTCTGGCCGATGGTCTGCATGGGAGGCAGCGGACGCTGTCTGGTCGGTTGGAAGCCCGTCGATTGAGGTGCGAGAGTCTGTAGAGGCTGAGAGGCCTGGCCCACCTGCGCGAAGAAGCCCGGCGTGGCGCCTGTCTGCTGAGGCTGCTGAATCTGTGGCTGAGGCTGAGGCGCCGGGATAGCCGTGAGTTGCGGCTGAAGCACTGGAAGAGCAGGAGCCGGCGCAGGTTGCGTCACCGGGGTCGGTTGAGCTGGAGTCGGTTGCAACGGCGTTTGGAGAAGGGACAGGTCTGCCATGGCACCAGTCGGGGGCAGCGGTTGAGTGGTCGCCGGCGAGGCGGCCGGAGGAGGCGGCGACGGTGTTGGGGCAGCAGCAGCAGCTTGCGTGGCAGGAGGAACAGACTGTTTGGGCTTTTTGACTTCCCAGGCATCATCGTCGAATCCGCGTTCGACCGGCTTTTCGGATGCGGCCGACGCTGGTGGGGAGGTCTCCTGCTCAGGCTTGGATGCTGTATCCTTCTTATCATCGAACGCTTTGGCATCGACCGTATCACTGGCCGGAGTGTTGGGTGCCGGCCTGCCCTTGCGGGTGTTGTTGCGAAGGGCTCCGCCGGGGCCGGAGAAAAGGCCCCCTTCTTCACCATTGCCGATGACCTCTTCTCCCCCGAAGCTGACGTTCCGAAGCTTGGACTTGGCTCCCGTTCGGTTGTACATGCTGTCAAGGTAGCGCATCACGCGTAGAATATCGCCCTCTTTCAGACCAAGGGTCCGCAGCGTCTCTGGGGTAATGTCAGGGAGCACGCTCTCGTCCATCCAGTCCTTGATGAAATTCTGCGCATATCGTTCGCATTGATGCGGTCCCACGCCAGCCTTGAGGAAGAAGTCAAACCAATCGTACTCCGGCGGCTTCGGCTGCTCGATCGAAGCGCCGGCCTGCCCAGACTGACGGGATTTCAGCTTGCTCGGGTCCTGGAGGCTGCGACGGCGGATATCTGACAGGGGCTTATCTTCGTCCAAAGATACGCCCGTCATCTTCTCCACGTATTCCAGATCCTCCACCGACATCTTTTCAATAGGCACCGCAATCTTGACGCCGTTCACCTTGTGGAGATGAATCTTGCCATCTTGAAGGCCGATGAATTGAGCCTCGACGGTAAATGACTTGGTGCGGTCGGTCCACTGTCTAGTTTTGGAAGAATCAGGTTCTACAGCAGAGTCAGCAAGCAAGTAACTATATTACAAACAAAGATAAAAATAGTGGTGGTTTTCAACTTACTGGTCTTATTGTTCGACTTGCTATCGTTCTTGCGATGACGATGCTGCTTCGGGGTGTTATTACCGACTTGGGCCATCAAACTACTACGTCGTTCGGGCAGCTTCTGTATGGGTCCTACCTGTGAAGAATCACGCGAATCCATGGAATCGTGCTTAGATTTGTGGGTTGCCTCCTTCGTCAAGCGTTCCTCTTCCAGCTGGTTTTTCCTCACGCTCGACAGTCCCGAATCCAGTCCCGATGGCTGGGTGGAAAGGAAGCCGGTGATCTCGATGTAGCTGCTGGGTACTACGCCCTCCTTGCCATTCATCATGCGGCGCACCATCCACCACTCCTCGGACTTGGTATCGTCGATGATGACAACCTCATCACCGACGGCCACGGTCACCTCGTCATCTCCTTGGGCCATGAAGTCGTACAGCACCTGGCCCGTCTTGTGGCCAGCTCCGCCTTTTCCGGCTGCAAGTACTTCTCGCAGGCCTTCTGCCCGATAGCTGCCGGCGATCTCCCCGAGAGCGGCCACGATCTCCTTGGCGGTGTCCTTGGCGCCGGCATGGAAGTCGACGCTCTTGCTTGGCCGAACGAGGTCCAGGAAGACATGTTTCCCCTCAATCGAGTAATGCGAGAGTCTGTCGGCCGTCCATTCCTGCTGGCGCTCATCGCCTTCAGGAGAGATGAAAATGGTACCCGTCGCAATATTGATACCCAGGGTGGTTGGCATCTTCTTCCTCTTGCCCATTGCCTCCACCATCTCATTGATGTTGTACAGATGATACCCGGCCGGGGAACGCGGCGAAGGCTCTCCCACGCGATTATCCGGGGGCGATGCTCGGACACCAGGGCTGGAATCCGGGAAGCTGGCGCGCGGGGGCGGAGATGGCTCCGGAGGGGACGGATCGCGCGGGGGCGGCGAGAACTGAGAGCTTGGCCTTTGGGGCAGGGGAGGGGACCGAGGACTGTCATAGTCGTCTTCCGGTTCATAAGACACGTGCTGAACAACTGGCCGAGGAGGCAGAGCGACATCCTGGGAAGGTTCAGGGTGGCTCCGGTGGAGGATGTTCGCTATCGCCGCAGCTGCGGGATTCCGTTGAGCAGCTTCCCTGACCGGGGAAGCCGGCTTCGACTGCTCGTATTCATCTTCTGCTGCCTCTTCCACATCCTCCTCCTCCTCCTCCTGCTGCTGCTGCTGCTGCTGCAGCACGGGCACTGCTCTCGGACGTTCTGGGAGCGCGGGAACAGGGGAAGGAATCGGAGATTCGGCTGCATCCGTGGCCGCGCCTTCAACGATCTCGATGTAATTCGAGGGCGCAAACCCAAAGTCCGCACCCGAGCCAACAAGCGTCCAGTCTGGATCCGAGATGTCGTACACCGCAAGCTCTGCGTCTTCGGAAAAGGACACCTCTTCGTCGGTCTGGCGAGTATAGTCGTAGAGCGCTCTTGCCTTGTGGACCGGTTGAGCCTGTCGAGGAACATTTGATATCAGTCCCGGCGTCCACCGGAAAAAGGAGACACGGAGTCGATACGGTGGGAGTGTATCAACAAATCCCAACGTATTCGACAAAACAAAACCAATAAAAAAAAACCACATTCAAACAGTAACGATTAGAAGAATGTCTCACCTCTTCCACATAGTTATTCGGCACTAAACCCTCCGGCTCGTCCTCATCCTCTCGCTCGGCCTTCTTCTTCGCCTTCCACCAATCATCCTCGCTGCTCTTTTCCAGCACATACAACAAATCGCCCTCACGAATCTCCAACTCCCCCTCTGCCTGAGGATGATAGTCGTAGACGGCCGTGTACACTCCCAAGAACCCCATCGCTGATGCCGGGGCCTCCCTCTCTCTCTCTCTCTCTCTCTCTCTCTCTCGAATCAACAACCTCTCCGAGAGAAGGCAATGACCTTCCTGTGGATAATCCTCGATCTCCGGCTCTTTTCGCAGCGAGTAGCCGACCGGACAGACGCGGAGGGGGAGGAACTGTGCTCTGTTGCTCACCCTGGGGTTTGTTGTGCCTCGATTCGAGGTCGGTCGCAACCAGACGGTCGGTTCGGGGTGGGTTGAGGGGCGAGGCGGAGCCCGGAAAGGGTTGCCTTAGTCAGAAGAGGTCACGTTTCCCCTGAGTTTCCAAATTGCAGTTGCTACCAGACAGACCAAGTTCAAGTTCCCTCCTCCCACTGTCCACGATTGAACAATGGTTTAGCTGTGCACGTTAGATAAATAAATCAGGTATTAGTGGTTACGAGAAATCAAATGATGGCAATTATCGGACCTGCCGTGCCAAGTCTAAGGAATCTGGGCTCAGCGAGCACTGACGTCGGGCATCGATAGGGGATAACTACTATGGAATCTGGATCCACCATACTAACTCTGGAGTACTCTGTAGGGTCGTGATGATTACTATGGAAAAAGACATGATAAAATAATAATGGCAATGATCACTATGTTGAGGGTAAATTACGCCAGGACGACCCAAGACACCAATTCGACCTCCACATCGTCTTCTTCCGGATCGTCGGCTTGTTCTTGCGATGGTGGCTCGTGCTGGTCTGCCGCGACATCCTCCTGCTCGGTCTTGTCGGTCTTGTCGGTCTTGTCTGTTTTCCCGGTCTTCTTGGTCTCCTCCGTCGAGTCGGAGTTGCTATCCACGTCCTCCTCGTTGTCGACGATGGCCCGGAGGCTACGGTCGCCATTGAGTTCAACCAATTCCAGGGTCCAGTCTTTACCCTTGCCGACCTCTTCCAGCTGCTTCTTCAGCTCCTCGATCCTCTCCGGGTCGAGGTTGAACTTCTTCAGTTGTTCCTTAGACAGCCGCTGGATCTTGCCGTTCTCGCGTTTGGCGACGACATGGACCTTTTCGTCACCGGCAGAGGCGACCTGGCCCTTCTCGATCTGGCGGCCTTCGGTGCCCACAAGCTTCTTGGCGCCTACTTCAATGTCCCCCACCATCGGGTACTGTGGGATGGCCGCCTCGACCAGGTTCTGCGACTCGAAGAACTCCTGCATCGCCTCCCACTCGGAGACCTCGTCCGGGGTGAGCACCTCGCGACACTCGATCGAGTGCTCCTCGTCCGGCTGCTGGGGCTGGAAGGCGACGTCATTGCACAGCCGAGGCGTGTAGATCACCATCAGATACGAACAGGTCGTCAACTCCTTGATCCAGCCGATGCGGTCGGTCGACTGTGGATTGCAGTGGAATTGCACCTCGACCTTCCGGGGCCTGCCCGTCAGGTCGCATTTGGTGCCCCGGTCCAGATGCTGCACCAGGTACCGAGAGCCGCCCTTGGTCTGCAGCTCGGCAAGATCGGTCGACGCCTTTTTCGGCTCGGCATCGCCGTCGATCTCGTCATCGTCGTCCCCCTCGGCGAACCTGCCCAGAATGAACGACTGCGTGTTCCGGTCTTCCATCGGCGGGTAGCTGGGCACGCCGCTCCCTGACGGCAGCGCGTGGAACTGCTTGATCTGGTTCTTGTAGCAGAACGAGTAGGACCACCATCCAGAGACGTAGTACATGCATTTGCCTTCCAGTTCGCTTAGCAGCTCCAATCCACGCTCGGTCGCTCGAGCCACCTCGTTCTGTGCGTCGGCCTCGCCCGATCCCCCCGTATTCGCCGACCCGTTCTTATCCTCGTTATCAACGATGGGTATTTTGCAGAGGTATAGTCGATGGTCCAGAACCATCTCCTCATAAAGGTACTCGCCGTCCCCTAGTTTCTCGGCACCCGTCGCCGCGTTCGTACCATCTTGCAACACTATTTGGGAATTCTGCTGGTTGACTTGGCCGTGGCTCTGCGAGTGCAAGAGCTCGTGCGCTTCTGATTCAAGAACATACTCATCGGGGAAAGTCACTTGGTACTGCAGATACATCCGTATCAGCATCTTCATCCATAAAAATATAGACAGATCACAATCAGAAAAGGTTCAACCCACCTGGGGATACGCGAGGATGTCATCATTGATATTAAACGCCTTCTTGCCGGCCTCAACCCCAGACAGAGCGGCGAATAACAACAGAGACACCAGCGCTGACGTGTGCCGGCTCATTTTCTCCTGTACCTCTGTACCTCTGTCTTCTGATGATACAAGTACTTGGTACTAATTCTCGTCTCGAGGCAACAGGCAACCCCAGTCTGCTGCCCGCACAGTATGGCAGGAAGGGCAATTAATCAGCTAGTCTCATCAGTTATCATGTCAAACAGAAAGTCCCCTTGACCATGCCGCTTTATTCCAAAGCATGGACAGAAGGTACACAAACAAAGACTCTCAATCTCAACGCGGGCTGCCAATATGCCAGCTGTGAACATCCGGGCGGCCTCCAAAGCGGTGACGCTATCGCATGCAGCCAGTTTATTCCGTAATGCCGGAATTATAAATCCGTACATCCGACAAGCGCACGTGCCATCTCACGCGGGATATGAGATAAGCTCGGTCTAACCGGAGCCGGACTAGCTCCATCTGTCTTTGTAATTGCAGCCAAATCATTCAGGCCGTCGCAACTAATTGCTGACTGATGGTTTGCAAATCATCTCCAAGTAGATTTCCAGACGGATTTAAAAGGACGAACGATAGTTGACGAATCTTTGTTCGGTTTTACTAACTGCTGACTGACGGCTGAGAGATTGGTTTCAGGAATTTTCTAGCACCCTCACTTCTGGACTCGGCTCAGGTATAAATACCCCCCCGCCGTCGTCAATGAGACTCCTTTTGCCTCTTCTAATTTGCATCATTGCGATCCTCACTTATCACCACCAGACATCTAGCGAGGTTTATCGGAGCATAGTTGCTTACTGCCAACGAGTCCCAACGCTTTTGGCGCAGACGTTGAAGAAGGAGAACACGGAGAGCACAGAGAAGGCATTCTTTCCTACTACAGACACCCCCGTCGTCCCCGCACTCACTGAAATGGCCGTACCTCGGACGATTCGTCAGGCATTCCTCGCCATCGAGCAGGCAGAGGGAGCAGGCGCACGCGTGCGACGCTCTATTGGAACGGCGAAGCTGCGCAATTTCAGCCCCTTCCTCATGCTCGACCACTTCACGATTGGCAAGGGCGCCGGGTTCCCTGACCACCCGCACCGCGGCCAGGAGACCATCACGTACCTGCTGTCTGGCGGGGTGGACCATGAAGACTTTGCAGGCAACAAGGGCACCATCGGGCCGGGCGACCTGCAGTTCATGACGGCGGGGAAGGGCATCATGCACGCCGAGATGCCACGCGAGAACGCGGACGGCAGCCCCAACGTCGGCATGCAGCTGTGGGTGGACCTGCCCAAGGAGCTGAAGATGTGCGAGCCACGCTACCGTGATCTGCGGGCGTCGGAGATCCCCATCGCCACCGTGGACGACGGCCGTGTTACCGTCAAGGTCATCTCGGGCCAGTCGCACGGGGTTGATTCGGTCCGCGACCTGGCGTACACCCCCGTCTGGCTACTGGACGTCACCATCCGGCCGGGTGGTCGGATCTCCCAGACGCTGCCCAAGGGGTGGAACGCCTTCGCCTACACCCTCTCCGGCACCACGGTCTTCGGCTCCAACGATTCCACCAAGCTGGTCAAGGAATTCCACAACGTCGTCTTTGACCAAGAGGGTGACTATATCGAGGCCTCGGTCCCGGAAAACGCAGAGTCGGACGGCCAATTCATCCTGGTGGCCGGCCAGCCGCTCGACCAGAAGGTTGTTCAGTACGGTCCCTTCGTCTTGACCAGCCAGGACGAGGTGTACCAGGCCATGCTCGACTACCAGACCGCGTCGAACGGATTTGAAAGAGTGCGCGGCTGGCAGAGCGAGATTGGCAAGCGGATGGCCTACTAGCTACAAGCTGCTGGTACGAGCTACTAGATGATTAAAACGTTTTGTTGCTGTTTATTTAATAAATGTATGATACCTTACTGCGTTTATAAGTATATCGATGGAGTTGAATGTCTAAGCACGTTAAATTACTATTGAACACTATTAAAGTACTTTGGTTATTTCTTGATTCTTCATCTCCTAGCGTAAATATATATATTCCAAGGGAAATCTACCCACCACACTCTCTTCTACCAACTTCAACTCGCAGCAACATCTATTCGCACAGCATCACAATAAAGTTCTGCAAGTGACCAAATACTAGACCATGAGCTCGTGCTTCTGGCTAATTATCCTTCCACTTGAGCAGCGTCACAATGGCTTAGCTTGACTCATTCTGCAAAGGGCACGAAAATCGGCCTTAACCGCCTCCCGGTTCATTTTCGACACCTCCTTTCCCCTGCTGGCACCATACGAGCGACACCCATCTTGGCCAACCAATCCTGTTTACCATTCCAACGAGGCTGAAGAGTTTCACTGCTCTTCTCGTTCCGATACTAGATCATGGGGTCCGGTTAGACGATGGCTGAGGGGGGGGGCTTTGGCCCTGCTTCGACGCCGTGATTATGCGGGGGGGGGGAAGGATGAATGTCTATTTGAAAGAGAGCCCGGGGATCCAAAGGGCAGAGGGTGGTTGGTAGTATCTCCTTTCTCTCTTTCCCAGTTATTTATTTATTCTTTTTTTGCTTTTGGTTAGAAGTATACCACTAACCGGTTGAGAGTGATATCCAGGTGTATATATATAGTACGTCCGATAGAGAAGACGAGAGAAGACGAGAGAAGACGCCCGCATGGATCCTCTCTCTCTAGTGACCGGTTCTCTGGCTCTAGGGTCTGCAGTGAACGCGGCTCTAGCTGGGCTGTTGAAGTTACGCAGCCTGAAAGACTGCCATGCGACCATCCGTGCCTTGATGGTAGAGCTGGAGGACTGTCGCATCATCCTCGGGCAGATTCAAGCGCTGTTCGAGACCCGCCAGAAGGATGACCGCGTCGAGAGTTCCCTGGCAGATCTGGCGGTATTCCGCTGTCATCTTGTGCTGAAAGACTTTGAGCAGTTATTGCGTAAATTCGTTAGGGCAAGCCCGCAGACCAGGTGTTTCAGATGGCTTATTGAGAAGGATTGTGTGATGGAATTCCGCCAAAGCCTGCAGAATGCGAAGATCACATTGCTGATGACACTATTGAGCACTGAACTGTATGTTTTCTTTTTTCTTACTCTTCACAACCACTTGTTCTTATCTATTGGAACAGGGCAGACTCGTCTGGTTTCCGTTCACGTCTGGATGAAATCCAGGCCTCGGCAGAGGTAGGAAGAGAAGATGTCAGCCGGCTCCTCTCCAAGCTTCTCGAAGAACAGACCATGATGCGTCTGGAAATGCGGACTATATTCCTTCAAATTGAGCAGCTGCAAGATCGACGTCTGCCTTCCCCCCCCGAGCTGCTGGTCACTGATGCTGAGGCATCTCTGGAGGGCATAGAGTCGCACAGCGTGTCTACCGGAGAGGAGTTCTTGTCCGATGATAGCATCTCCAGCTCGTCAACATGCACTGCCTGCTGCTGTCGCTGCCACTATCGCTTCCGATTAGACAGTCCACGATCCCTCGCCTGGCTCACCGGATCCTCGTTATTGACTTTTTCCGGGCTGCCCTGGAGCTCGTGCTCTGAGGTGCGATGCCAGAGGCAGCAGCAGTTCAAAATGCGGTATACCTATCGGCTCCCCCGCTGGCTGGTCTCTCGGATGTTCAACCTCTCCTATAGCTCGTCCTCTCATCTGCAATCTGGGCTTAACTTGAACATCACCCTGCGCCTACCACGGGTTGTCCCTGACAATGCAGAGATCCTTCGGCTAACAGCCCAGGGCAACCGCAAGGGCCTCGAAGCCCTCTTCTCCAAGGGGGCAGCCTCCCCGCACGATGTTGGGTCAGTCTACGGCCTTACACCGCTGCACATCGCTCTGTTCAAGCGCAACTTTGCCCTGTGCGAGTTCCTCCTCACCGCCGGTGCCGACCCCTACCTCAACACAGGCATGCGACGCTGCGTCATCGATATTGTCCGTGAAGACATTCTCCGCCAGCAACTCTCTCTCGACGAGATCGTCTACCTCAAACGGCTTTTCGTCGACGTCGACGACCTGGGCTCCTTCAACTTCACCGCAGTCCACAAAGCCGCTCTGGGCCTGTCTCCTCTTTCTCTCGAGTCCCTCCTGCAAACCTCCACCTCCCTCATCGACGCCCAGGATTCCCAGGGCCGTACCGCCTTGCTCTGGGCTGCTTCCTCCAGCAACGTGCACGCCACCGCCGTCCTCCTGAGGCACGGGGCTTCGCCGCATATCGCCACCCGAACAGGCCAGTCCCCTCTCCACCACGCAGTCGAGTACGGTTCTCCCCAGTGCGCGCGGCTGCTCCTCGCCGCCGGCGCGGCAGTCGACCACCCGAACCGCCGCGGCCGTACACCGCTTCACTACGCCTCCCGCCTGGCCGACAACGCCGCCATGTGTCGTCTCCTCCTTGATGGCGGCGCAGACGTCCGCGTCCGCGATCGCGGCCTCTCCACCCCGCTCCACGAAGCGGTGCAGTACGACCGACAACCGCAGATAAGGGCCTTGGTCGACGCCGGGGCGGACCTGCTCGCTCTCGACGCGGACGGTAGGACGCCACTAGACCTTGCGCAGGATCATTCGGATCCTGCTCTGGACGCCTCGACACGCTGCAGCAACAACCCCGTACACAATGAACGACAGCTCAACAGTTGTCTTGAAGATTCTCCTATGGCTATTGACCAAGATGACTTTTCTTCTTCTTCTTCTTCTCCTTCTTCCGCAGCTGAACCGCCGCCGTCGTCCTCTATACCACTGCAAGGAACGAGGGCTCTTCCGTTCGTGTATCGGCATTATGCTGACTTCGGGGATCTTGCGCGTGTATCCGGGAATAGAGGATTGTTGGCATGCGGACAACCTACCAGCACCTAGTCTCTACTTCCTCTACTTATCTATACAATGCGTACTGTAAAATGATACCGTACGAAATGCTACGCTGGTCGCATGGGTGAAAACATAGGCGTAGCATGACATTATATTAGACAAGTACAGAATGGGCGATATTCCAAATCAGATTGCCATAGGTCTGTCAAAAACTCCTTTCCAAGAAAAAGGAAGACAAAAATCGGGAGAAAAAGGGGGGGGAAGAGGGATCCATAGCTACAAACTTTCGGTTTCATCATATTATAAAGTGTTTATTTCATTCTTCAGGTCTTTCTCCTCCCCCCTCCCCCCCTAACAGATGGTAGTCTTCCTTTATTTCGCAAAGTGCAGGTCATAGTTGAGCCACTTCCTAGCAAGGATACCGTCCACATCGAGGCCAGGAGTGCCATAGGTCAATGGAGCATAGAAGAAGAAGCCGTAGGCGGTGGCAGCAAGGATGACCGCGGTTGCGATCCAGGCTGCAATGTGAGACTGGCGGCCCATGCGCTCTGAAGCGAGGACGAAGAGACGCTGGCCAGCCGGTACAGCCTTCTTCTTGCCGGAGGGATCTTCGACGGTAGAGGGGACAGGAACCGGCCGGTGGATGGGATCCAGATTGAAGATAAACTCAATGAGGGCCCCGGTGACAAGAGTCGAAGCGAGGTGGGCTGGGAGGTAGTGGTGCAAGAACCGCTGGCGGCCCATCAGCCAGAAGGGGAAGTAGTGGGCGCCCCAGCAGAGGAAAAGGAACCCTGTGCTGTTGTACAGACGAGAGCGGGTACCAGGGCCCCAGACTGGAGGTATGGTTAGCATACGGTATGGAAAGGGAAAAAAAAAATGTAAGGATACGACTTACTCTCTTCCAAGGCATCAATTCCACGGCGCAGCGACAGCTGGTCGGCGGCCAACACACCGGCAAAGACGGCCAGGAGACTGCTGGAAATCCACCAACCAACGGGGTTGCCCAAGAAGTAGATCTGCTCTCTGGTGTCGTTCTTGGTCCAGAAGCTGACACCGCGCAGCAGGAAGGGCCATTGGAATGGCTCGCTGGCGTAAGGGTGGCTGCTGGTCAAGGCATTGTTGTGGAAGAACATGGCCCGTTGCAGCTCCAGGTACTTCTTCCAGAATGGCAACGTCTTGATTTCACGGTCCTCCTTGATCAACCGAGGGCTGTCTTCCGGGATGTTCTCAATTGAATCGACGAACCACAGATTGCTACTCTGTAGGATGTTCTTGTTTCCGTTGATCTCGGACTGCTTGAAGGCCCACTCCGGGAGAGGCTTGGTGTGAGTCCACATGGCGACGCGAGTGGGCATGTGGATCAGTTTGAAATGGCTTGAGAGGGAGCGGAACTCCTGGTTGGTCTTGCCGTTCTCGATCTTGATTTCAAACAAGGTATCATTGTGTCTCTCCCCGTCTGCAAGCTCCTGGGGGACAGTGGTGAACTCCTGGTTGGTGGGGTAGTAAGGTGAGGCGACGTCGTGAGTCAAAAGAATCGAATCGGTTCCCAGGTGACGGAGCTGGACGACATCGCCGTTCTTGACGCTGTGACCCAAGCCGTTATCCTCCGACAGCGGAACGGTGGGCAAGATCTGCCAGTTGTTGTTGGTGTCATTGTAAGGGTAGCCGGTAACCTGCTGGCCCTGGCTGGAGATACGACCGTCATCGTAGCGCAGAGGATACTTCTCCCAGTGGCTGTGCAGGAACACCTTGGTGTCCTTGTGGCGAATAGTGATCGAGTCATAGTACTGGATGCCAATGGATTGCGCGACCAAGGAATTGTCACTCAGGGTCTCCTGGAACTCGGGGGTCATGAAGTCGTCGCCGGGACCGGACCTGTTCAGGATCGCAAAGTGAACCTGGAACCAGAACAGGTAGAAGAAGAAGGGAACAACGATGAGGGCCACTCCGCGGGCAACAAAGTGCTTGCCCCATTGGACCATGTCGAGCGCTCCTCCGCGGCGGTTGATGTCCAAGAGATTCCACAGGTCGATCATGACCGCGCAACCAATGCTGACGAAGGTGAAAGTACCGACATACTTGGTCGAAATAACGCAGCTCAATGAGACACCGGTCAACAACAGCCATTTCCACCACTTCCGGCCGAAAGGCTCGTGCCTCAACTTGTAGAACTTGATATAGCAGAGGACGCTCAAAGCCATTGTCAGGACGAGGGTAGCATCCAGGAGAATGAGACGAGTCTCGCCAATATGGGCATTGTCGAGCAGCATCAAGCCGGCGGAGAGTACGCAAGCCGGAAGAGAGTATCCAGACTCCCACATGATCTGAAAGACGACAGGGATAGTGAGCGCGCCGAGAGTTGCCGGCATAGCACGCAGAGCGACATAGGGGACTTTGTTCTCAATGTACGAATCTCCAATGTTGTCGAACAGGAAGTGACCATCGTAGCCAACCAACCAACCCATGAACGCAAAGAGGAGCTTTCCAAACGGAGGATGAACATCGAAGAAGTACGTGCGTTGCAAGTAGTAAGAGGCAAACTAACAAGTCAGTCCAGCCTCTCTCCAGTTGGCGATGGTGGTGACACTCTACTACTCACCTTTCCGAAATGAACCTCGTCGAAAACGACTTCATCGGGGTAAGAGATTTTGTAAAAACGAGTCACAAAGGCCAAAAGGGTCAGAATAGCCATGGCCAGCATATAGCTCCATTCTGAAGGCTTGTTGTCCACTGCCTTGCCCTTCTTCGCCGGGGGGTAATTATCGGACGGCACGGCGGAATAGCCATCCTTTTTACCGCCTCTCTTGCGGAGAGAGGGTGGTGAACTCATAATTATATGGTTAACAATAGGTAGGAAAGGGCCTGGAATTAGAATGAAAAAAAAAAGAGTAAGTCTAAAGAGCGACGAGAAAGGCTTCTGGTTGAAAGGATACCACTAGACGCGGGAGACGAGGGTCAGATCAGATCAACATGGTGGGAGAATTGATCAGGGTTGATGGCGACTTACCGTAAACCAATCACTACCAGAAGGCAAACAACATAATAAGAAAAAGACGAGCGATTGTTAGAAAAGGAGTTCGATTGGCAGTAGGAAGGTTGAAGAAGGGCGCCGTCCAAGAATTGAGACAACAGACGACACGACACGTCTTTCAGTTTCATGTGGTCGGCAAAAAGCACCCGCAGCTCCGACCCAGTTCCAAGCACGCACTGAGCTGAAACGCCCATGCAGAGACATCAACTCTAAATCAATCTGAGGATTAACCTTGAAGATCATTTTCAATTTAACATGGATGTATCTGGTATCTAGAGAAAAGACATGCACGCCAGCCAGCGCCTGCCGAAAATAGAGCTCGTATATAGTTACAGAGAGTGGGTATGCAAAATTATGGGTCATGATCAGAGAGGCTCAGTAGATCCAATTCCGTCTTGACCAGGGAATCGAACTCGGCCCGCGAGATGCCAGTGCTCTTCGCGAGGCGGAACAGACTTTTGATGTTGGCACTGATGTGCTGCCTCACGCCGACTTCGACGACCGAACGGTTCTCTGCCTCCAGCTCCAACTTGGCCACGGCCGATTCGGAGCTACGCGAGGAGACCGATGCCGGGCGCGGATGGTTTAGCAGCATAGCAGTGTCGTCATGGGTTGTGGCACCTGCCGCGTAGCCATTCGTTCGTGGCGGTTCAGCGTCTGAAGGACGGCTGATCTGCCTCTGTAGAAGATTCATCAACATGTTACCGTCAAGAGTAGACGCTCCAATATCTGTTTGTTGCTCCTCTGGATCCTCATTGTCCATAGCCGGCTGCACGTCGGCGTATCGAGCGTAGTATGAGTCCTCTGTGCTGTGAGACTGGTGCAAAGGGGAGATGGGATTCGGGGCTGGCGTTTTCACGGCTGGCGTCCTTCCAGGTGTAGCATCGTACTGAGCCCAATAGTCGTCCTCACCATCGTCATCCTCTTGGTTTTTGTCCTGCATTTGACCTCCTTGTGCCAAACTCTGCTCATGTTTTTCGGCTGCCTTCAAGGCATCTTCGATAATTTTCTCCTTGGCTCGTGAGTTGGCTTCTCCGACAGAGGTAGACCACTCGCTGTTATCCTCGAGAGAATCCTCGTCTGGCAGAAGTTCTGCCAATCTCCAGCCTGGACCACCACCATCCTTGTCATCGATACACCACAGATAAATGACCTTTAGGCTGTGATCTGGTAGCAAAATCTGTGATTGTAATGTTTCGTCGTCGATGCGTCTGAACGTCACAGGAGTTTCGTGGGGAAGCTCGATCTCCCCCGAAGCAGGATGCGGTTCGAAGTTTGCGCTATCGACCAGATTCTGCACTCGCTCCGCCTTGTCGGCATTCCAGCACAGCAATCGAAGCCATGAATCGCTAGCTGAATTTGAAACCGAGCTGAGGATCTGCACGCGCTGGCGTAGGATGGGTGAGAGCAAAGGAAGAAGGGCAGGGGGCGGACGAGGCGACACAAAGGCAGTAGGGAGGCAGGCGAGCAGAGGGGGGAGCAGCGAGTGAGGCTCCGGGGGCTGGATCAATTCAACCATCGTTTTCCCTCCCGCTTGCAGCGAGTGTGTTGAAGTTTGTGGGGGGGGGGTTCCAGTTGTTGATAAACGGGAAGATTCCCACCGCGCGCGAACTCCACCAGGAACAGGGGAACAAGACAGGTACTTGCTAGCAGGAAGGTCGCACCAAAGTCACAAAGGTAAATCAAAGGTAGCACTCCCAACCACACCGAGAAGGGGCACCCATCGCTTCTTGTAACTGAGCCACCTGGCCCTTGGTTGGATTTCCAACCAGACCTGTGGTTAGGCTCCATTTGCCCGGACCCAGCGATCTGCGTTGGTTAAACAGCGGGGCATGGAGGAATCAACTGGCTGCCAATCACGATTATTCCAAAGGTATAACCACAGACTTTGCAATAGAGCATGGAATCTAGGCCATTGTATCGCCGAGCAAGTCCACAGACTGTAGCAGGTCTTGTCAGCTGTTGAGACCACAAGGAGGTTTCACGACAACAAAACAACAACAGCAAGATAAGCTTCACGCCTGATCGGCCAATATATTCAGCAAGGATCAGCCTCTCCGTTCGTCAATCCGTAGCACTGGTGAACCGAGAGGTGGAAAATCGGACAGGCGGATGCTCTAGCTTCATTGAATGACGATCCTAGCAAGGCCTGCATCCATCGTCTCTGCCTCCTCACCACGGCAATTTTGTTCAATTTCGGTTCTCGTTCTGCAGCAAGTCTCTAACCGAAATGGTCCTGCAGGGTTCCAGGATGGCCGATGCACAATTGATAAGCATTGACTACAGTGGAGCAGGACGGCAGGCGTGCTGCTTTTGTGTCTTTCTTACAGCTTCGAGCCCCTCCACTATGACTCAATCACATGCGTTCGCAAATTGGACGACGACGACGACGACGACGACAACGGCTGGGAAAGTGCGTGGATTGACTTGCCCCTCGAATTGAATAGCGATCCGTCGGTTTCCAAGAGACTTTTGAGGTTCCCGCCATGGCTGAGCAACGGGATTCTGCGACTGAGAAATCGCCTGCTGGTGTGCAGCCCGAGGCCCTCAATCCAGACGAGCCTCTCGACCGTGACGATGAAAGCCTGACGGGTGAAGATCCGAAGTCACTAGAGCGAAGTCTACGATTAAAGGTTGATCTTCGCCTGTGTTCCATTGCGGGCATTCTGTGCAGTCTCAACCTGGTCGACTCCGGCATTCTGTCCTCTGCATCGGTGACCGGCATGCTGGAGGAGTTGGGCCTCGAGGGGAGGCGCTATTCTGTGGCTATCTTCATCTTCACTATTGCTAGTGTGGTGTTTCAGCTGCCATCAACAGTGGCCGTACGACTCGTGGGACCTCGCGTCTGGTTTTCAAGCATCACCTTCTGCTTCGGACTGATCACGCTGTGCACTGCGTTCATCAAGACCTGGCGACAGATGATTGCGCTACGCATCCTCCTCGGCATCTCCATGTCGGGCATCTATCCCGGTCTCACATACCTGATCAGCACCTGGTACACTCGACGTGAGCTGCAGCTGCGGTTCGCATTTTTACAAGCTGGCGAGGTTATTGGGATGGCCACGGGTACTATCGTCAACTACGGGCTCAGTTACCTCAACGGCCGAGCTGGCCTGGATGGATGGCAGTGGATGTATCTTGTGCAGGGACTGGCAACGTGTGTGCTGGGGGTCATCACATACTGGTGGATGGTAGATTTCCCGGAAAACGCTGGCCGGAGCTTCCGCTTCCTGACGGAGGCTGAGGCTCGCCTTGCAGCTGATCGGATCAACGCAGACAGAGATGACCTTATCCCTGATCAGTTCTCCACTCGCAAGGCTCTCGCTGCTTTCCAAGACCCGAAGGTTTACGGGTTCGCGTGCATGTTCTTCTTGCTGAACCTCGTTTCTACTTCTTTATCCTACTTCCTTCCCATTATCCTGGAAGATGGAATGGGCTTCTCCTCGAATAATTCGATCCTGCTGTCAACTCCGGTTAGTCGAGGTCTCCGTACTTGCGTCTCAAAAGTAAATTCTTGCTTACTGGACTTCACAGCCCTACTACTACGCGGTCTTGCCCGTCCTGTTGACCTCTTTCATCGGCGACACTTATCGCATCCGCGGTCCCCTCATTATATTCAATGCACTTGTCCTTATTGCAGGATTCTTGATGTTTGGTCTCCCCGCCTCCACTCAAGTCACAGTGCGGTACATCGGCGTCTTCCTTGCCACGGGTGCATACGTTTCGAACTGGGCCGCCCTGAACGCATACCAAGCCAACAATGTGGTGGGCCAGTGGAAGCGCGCCGGCACGGCGGCAGCAATTACTGCATGCAATGGATTGGGCGGCGTTGCCGGGAGTTATATCGTTGAGTCGTGGCAAGCACCTACATACCAGACCGCGGTCTGGGTCTCCATCGGGTCAGTTTCTCGAGCCCTTCAGTCTTGTAACGCCCGTTCGATTGCCACTGACTACTCCTCCCTTGTCACAGATCTCACATCCTCATGATTGCCATAGTTGGCATATTCTCGATATATTTCTACATCTCCAATCAACAGCAGAAACGAGGTAAAAAGATATTGGAAGACAAGGTGAGCGTCTCTTTCTCCCTCCATTGTGCCACTTCCACTTGGCTGACAATCATACAGCCTGGGTTTAGATACACGTATTGATGGATTATCTCACGAGACCAAGTTTTTGACGTTCGGTTTTTCGTTTTAGAGATTCATTTCTGTGGTTGAACTCATGGCCCATAGGTATATATATATATATACGACCAGTCTTAAATTAGAAGTCTAGACAATCTATGAAATATATATATATAACACCGCCATTTCCATGTCGCTCAAGATAGTCGTTCATAAATCCGGGTGAATTATGTGGCTCAGAATTGAGGACTGAAACCCTAAAGGATTGAGATCGTGAGCATGTATATGAGCTAAGGGATAGGTCACCTACATCAATGCTTAAACCCATGTATCTTCAGAGTCACTATCATTTGATTAGAAGTACATACATGCAAGTCTTGCCGGGGGTATATGCTAAGGTGCCGCAAGCGCTGTACCACAGAAACTGACAGGCAAGAATAATAGCTACAAAAGCAAGGCGAGATCGGGTTGAGTGTAATTACAGCTCCCAGGTCGGAGACATAGCAGGAAGGAAACAAAGCGGCGAGTCGTCATGACCATTGGCAGAGAGAGAGAGAGAGAGGGACAGATTTTCAAAGGAACTTCTCTTGATCCTGATCAAGCCATACGATCCTTTTGCTCTAGCCGGGTGATGAGCCGTTTCATTCCCGCCCACTCCTCGGCGGGCACGTCCTCTGGCGTGCCGCCCAGGCCCTTGCCGACTTCGAAGACGGTGACGACACCATCCAGCCCGCCGGTTGCCAGACGACGGCCCTCGCGCTCCTCCCAGGCTACTTTGTTGAGACTGCGGGTCAGGATTCCGCTGCGGCCCTTCGAGGGTGAGGACCGTACGACAGGGACCTCGGTGTCGGTGTGCAGATCCCAAACTTCCAGGTGACCTGCGCCATCGACGAGCGCGAACACACCTGGCCGGTGCGGTGACCAACGGGCATCATATACGACGTCTTCCCGATTGATGTCGAGGATCGGAGTGACTACCTGCGCGGCCGCCGTGACGGAGGTCGCTGACGTCGTGGTGGCGGGCGGGCGCACACGCCACAGCCGCACGCTCCAGTCTAGACTGGAACTCAGCATCAGGTCACCTAGATCGACTGGGCCGCGCGCCGGGTGGAAGGCGGTGGACATCACGGGCGCAGCGTGGCCCCGGTATGCCAGCCGATGATCGGTGCCGGCTTTCGAGCCTGCTCGATCGTATCGATGGCATGGATAGATGCCGCCTTCTTCCGTTCCAACGATGAAGAACGTCGGGTCTGACTGTGGGAAGGACATGGTCGTGGGTGCCAGGTCTTCGGTCTTGGAGGGCGGAGGAGTGGTCAATTCGAGGTACTCCTGAGGCTGGGACAGCATATCTACAGTCCATCCACAAACGACGCCATCCGTGGACGCCGTCATGATGTTATGGGCATTCTGAGTGCCGATAATTGAAACACTGTACACCGGATGGGTATGTCCAGAGCCGGTCAGCGGTGTCTTCTGAACCGGCGCACCACCGCCTGCTCGTGAAGATCGCGTGTCCCATAGGAGCACTTGACCCGAGTACGAGCCACCAACAATGAGATTTGGATGGAAGGGTGAGAATTTTGCGGTGAGAATATCGGAGGTTGAATGAAACACGTATTCCGGGCGGGAGTGCAGATGTTGGTTCCAGACCTGAACAAGACCGTCTGGTTCATGGGGGGCAGAGGGGTTTTTGGTATATGAAGCTAGAACAAGCTCGGGGAACTGATAACGTTGGTCAGCTTCCTATTAGTGAATCAATGCGAATGGGGGGAGCTTACTTTTGGAGAGAAGCTCAAATCGCTGATCATGCGCTTCTTGCTCCAGCGCTCATCCCAAAACTGACAGACTTCTTTGATCCCCCTCTTCTTCTTGCCGTACTCATCGTCTTCCTCCAAGTCACCATCTACACCACCCAGCTCGTAATCTGCCAGGACGTCGTACTCTTCATCCAAAGCCCGCTCGATCACTTTGGTTGATCGGTCCACAAAGTCCAAGAATTCATCCGAAGAGGTGACAGCCTGCAGCTCGTCTTCATTGAGGGTACGTAGAGGATAGCGAACTTGACTGGATTGGCCGACCGGGCCATCTTGTGTGAGGTCCTTGGTGGCTTGTAGTTCTTCCTCGATCTCTTTGCGAAGTTTCCGTCGGATTTCTTCGTCGCGTTCACGCTCCCGGCGACTCAGCCGTTTGTTAGCCCTTGAGGTTTCCTCGAGGTCTTCATTTTCCGAGTCAATAGACCCTGCCTCAGACTCTGCGCGATGTGGTCTTCGCCGCTCCTCTGTCTGCACGGCTTTGCTGTATGTGAGGACCTCAACTTTCGGTTCAGGGGCCGGAGGTACGGCCTCAGCAGCGACTTGGAGAGGTCCGGATGAAAGGGTCTGCACCGCAATTGATTGTAACAGTGGTCGCGCAGTCGGCGACAATACCTCTGGGTTGTCGCCGCTTAGTTGGCTGGCGCTCAGCACCGAGTTCGGTCGACTTCCTCTCCGTGATGTCCCTTCGGCGCCCTGGCTGAACGAGGCCGAACCCGGTCGGTCCACCAGACGTGAAATCAGATCATCGAGCTCTGCCCTGCTATCTGACCGGCTTGGAACGGGCGAAACAACCTGGAAGCCTTCATGTCAGGAGCTAGACCCCCCATGACTATTCCTAGCTCATTCGTTTGCTTACCTCTGAAGCATCACCACCAACGCTCGCGCGGTTCTGGGAGAACTCCTTCTGGCGCAACTCCCGCTGCCTCTTAAGCTCGGCAAGTTTCGCCTTCTTGGCAAGAATCTCAGCCTTCCGCTGCTGCATGGTCGACATGTTTGGATGAGAAGCCTCCCAGGTGCTGCCCTCCAGGCTGCTTCAGCTGTTATTTACGTTGTTTGTCCCGCGTTCTGGGGCCGGCCGGGCGGATGACATAAGCGGAGCGCGGCCGGCGGCCCGGAAAAACTCGCGACAAGGACTTCGTCCCAACCAGCTTCGAAGGTATCTCTTACGACGCCTGCCATTGACAGCTGATAGCCTCTCTGTGGTCATTTTGGTACTCGGCGTCTTCCGCTCTCTTTCTCATTTTTTTGACTTGGTCGTTGTTCCGGAGGATAGGGACTCAAATTCAAGATGGCTAGTGCACAGGGTGTCAATGTGAGTTGTCTGCAGGGACGGACGGATCTCTCAGGAACGTCACCACAGAAAGGGCGGCAAAGGGTGCTCATACGACGATTTTATGAATAGGTTTTCCGCTACTCGGCTCTTGTAGCCGGTCTCGTCTATGGTTTCTACCACCAATCGTCCATCACGTCCCAGGCCAAGCGCGCCGAGATCGACCGCGAATACCACCGCCAGGAACAGTTGATCCAGCAAGCTAAGGCGGAGTGGAAGAAGAAGACCAGCCCTCCTGAGGCCAAGACGGCAGACTCTGGCAGTATGTTATTTGAATCGTCTCCTTTGTGTTATGATGTTTGCGGATTTGGAATCCCTTTTGTGCTTGCTAGGGGTGCGACAGGCGGCTAATAATCTACCCGATCCTACAGTCATCACAGATCCCGAAGACAGCCGGTTCGACCTCGAGGCATTCCTGAAGTTTAAGGCTGGGGAGACAAACTAGATAGAATCGAAAGCACAAGAGTGGAGGCGGTTGGCGTGGGTTTAGAAGTGAAGGTCATGGGCCCCCGGGGGTACCGATAAAGAGGGCTTGGGGTACTCCCATTTATGTATTATTGTTTCGACTAATTTCCCAGAGTCATGTCATTTCCAGCGAAAGAAGGAATGAGTCCCTTTTCCTCCAATTTCTTATTAGACTTCCTCTCTTGTCTTGTACATACCCCCGGGATGTCATCCGTCTGGTGTACAATACTGTGAGAGCAGAAGAGCAAGAGATCTTGCTATACGTTACACTGAACTGCTTCCTGAGACCATTACCTCCATTGCCTTCGAAACTTTAACTCTCTTATGAATCATGGCGACCGTCACCATCTGTTCAGCAAAGATCTCTTCAATTGCTGCGGGAACGACTTGCGAGTTGCCTTGGCTTTTCTCTATCTATCCCTACTATAGCTTTATTTTGGTTTTCTAAGAGGTTGTCACATATCAGCTCACATGGCTACTAATTAAAGCGGTGATATCTCTGAGCTCCTTGGTCGAGTCAATGCTCTGTGGTAACCCTGGAACTGGCTCCGGATACAACAAATTGGCTTCCGAATCCCATCTCCAGCCATATGAGACGAATATGTCGATAACCGACGGATCATGTTGCTCAGCCAAGGTGGTATCGAGACCCAGGTACTCTGCCGCTGCCGCCGGCCTTATCGCCTCGAACGCTCTGCTGACCTCCTTCAACGCTTTCTCCTGGAAGTAAACTACCCACTAACGTCAGATCTTGATCGTCCACCTAAAAGATTCTCAGAAGGCGAAAATTACCATCGTATCTCTGTACTATTGTGTTCACAGGTGCTGGCCACGGTAACTCTCGTAGAATTTTATAGACTTGAGCGTGCTTACACTGCCATACGGCGCGCAGAAGGTTGAGACAGTTTTGTAAAGCGACATCGGTCTGCAATAGGCTCGGCGGCATTCGTTGAGTTAATGATCGAGCAGCCGGACTATTCATCATCAAGAAATCAGTGCCGACCGCTCGAATGTTAATTTTAGAGACATGGGTAAATGGGAGGGTAAATCAAGTGCAAGCAAAGTGACTACTAACACTTGATCAGTAAGAAGGTGTGCAACAAAGAAGGACGCATAGAATGCACTCAAAAGCTTCGGATCGCCGTGGATTTGGTTCCCCGTGAAGAGCATATAGGCATCATCCTCGTAGCTAGAGAGTTTGTCGTACAGCTCGGAGGGCGACAGAGCAGACGTCAGCAGTTGCGAGAGCTGCCCTTCAGAGAGCGCAGGTTGATCCATGGAATACCGCAGTCCAGCTCCCCCGACAGACGTTTCTTAATAAACTGTACACAAGTACTCTACTGTTAGGTACAAGTAGGCACCACAGGCTTTTTAGCAAGGAGTTGGTATGAGGGTAAATAACATTAAATGCCGTTGGACTCTGCCATGAGTAGACGATGTGGGGGAGCGGCACCGCGGGCGATCTGAAGCTTGCGTTAACTTAAGCAGGCGCCAAGCCAGTCCCAAAAGACCACCTGGCGAAGCTCTCCTTCATCTACAACGACAAGACCGCCCGCCGTTGTCTTGTCTGCCACACGGGCAAGCCGTTACTTTCTTTTTTTCCCCATTGGATTTTCTTTCTTTTCCTTTGCCTGGCCATTATGGCCTCCCCTTCACTCGATGTCCTGCTGAAAGGCAACTCCAGTCGGAACGTCCGCGGTCTGCTCCGCATCATCATTCTATGTACCATCGCGGCTGCCGCGGTGTCCAGTCGACTTTTCAGTGTTATTCGTATGTCGCTGTGGCCAATTGGTCTTCCCTAGGTCTTAAGAAGTGATTGCTGATGACAGTATAGGGTTTGAAAGTATCATTCACGAATGTAGGTCTTGCAACCGAACCCCCCAATCTGCAACAGAACGGATGGATCGCTGTCCTCGAGGGCAATTGGAGCCACTTGTCCAAGTACATCGCTGATACAGGTCGTCTCTGCTTTAGTCGATCCGTGGTTCAACTTCCGAGCAACAAAGTATCTGGTTCAACATGGGTTTTATAAGTTCTGGGATTGGTTCGATGACCGTACGTGTCTTCATCATCTCTGTTTAATGGGATCAACATGTCCAAGCCAAGACAATTTTGACATCTGGGTATATTGACACACTGTTTATAGGAACATGGCATCCCCTTGGACGTGTCACTGGTGGCACCCTCTATCCTGGTCTGATGGTGACCAGTGGCGTCATCTATCATGTCCTGCGCTTCTTGACCATCCCCGTTGATATTCGGAATATCTGTGTCCTTCTGGCACCAGGTTTCTCTGGCTTGACGGCTTTGGCCATGTACCTCCTGACCAACGAGATGTCGAGTTCGCCCTCTGCTGGCCTTCTGGCTGCAGTCTTCATGGGCATTACCCCTGGGTACATCTCGAGATCGGTTGCTGGCAGTTACGACAACGAGGCCATTGCTATCTTCCTTCTTGTTTTCACCTTCTACCTTTGGATCAAGGCTGTGAAGAATGGCTCTATCATGTGGGGCACATTGGCTGCTCTGTTCTATGGTTATATGGTCTCGGCCTGGGGTGGATACGTGTTCATCACTAACCTGATTCCTCTCCATGTCTTTGTGCTTCTTTGCATGGGCAGATATACCTCCCGTGTTTACATCAGCTACACCACCTGGTATGCTCTGGGTACGCTTGCGAGTATGCAGATTCCCTTCGTCGGATTCTTGCCCATTCGTAATAGCGACCATATGTCTGCTCTGGGTAAGTGCAATTGCTATCTAAATGGACTTGATAGGATCTAACCAACCTGGAATTTTAGGTGTCTTCGGGCTTCTCCAGCTCGTGGCTTTCGCTGACTTCGTCCGTGGCTTTGTACCGGGCAAGCAGTTCCAAAAGCTTCTCACTGCCATGATTCTGATCGTTTTCGGATTTGCCTTGCTGGGACTCGTCCTTCTGACAGTGTCCGGGGTCATTGCCCCATGGAGTGGTCGTTTCTACTCGCTCTGGGATACTGGATACGCTAAGGTCCACATTCCCATCATCGCCTCCGTCTCGGAACATCAGCCCACAGCCTGGCCCGCGTTCTTCTTCGACCTCAACTTCTTGATCTGGCTGTTCCCCGCCGGTGTCTATCTCTGCTTCCGTCAACTGAAGGATGAGCATGTCTTCGTCGTCATCTACGCTGTACTCTCCAGCTACTTTGCTGGTGTCATGGTCCGATTAATGCTGACGCTGACTCCCGTTGTCTGCGTTGCTGCGGCCCTCGCTGTTTCTCACATCCTTGATACCTACCTGGTTGCATCGAAGCCCAGCGAGGCGTCTGAAACGAAACCCACAGCTGATAATAACCAGAGCGGTCTCCGTTCCACGCGGAACCCGGTCGTTGGAGTATACTCCTACCTGTCCAAGTTCTTCATTTCGGCTATGATGATCGTTTATCTTCTTCTCTTCGTTTCCCACTGTACCTGGGTTACCTCAAACGCCTACTCCTCTCCCTCCGTGGTCTTGGCCAGCCGCATGCCGGATGGCAGCCAGCACATCATCGATGACTACCGTGAGGCATACTATTGGCTTCGTCAGAACACCCCCGCGAACGCCAAGATTATGTCCTGGTGGGACTATGGATACCAGATCGGTGGTATGGCCGACCGTCCCACGCTGGTTGACAACAACACCTGGAACAACACCCACATTGCGACTGTCGGCAAGGCGATGAGCTCCCGGGAGGAGGTCAGCTACCCCATCCTCCGCCAGCACGATGTCGACTATGTGCTTGTGGTGTTCGGTGGTCTTCTCGGCTACTCCGGCGACGACATCAACAAATTTTTGTGGATGGTCCGTATTGCTGAAGGTATCTGGCCCGATGAGGTTAAGGAGCGGGACTACTTCACTGCCCGCGGGGAGTATCGTGTCGATGACGAGGCGACTCCCACCATGCGCAACAGCTTAATGTAGGTTTTCCAAAAAAAAAAAAAAAAAAGCGCGAGATGTGTCCAAATGCTAATGATCGGAACAGGTACAAGATGTCGTACTACAACTTCAACTCCCTCTTTGGAGGCGGCCAAGCTGTCGACCGAGTCCGAGGCGCCAGACTGCCCGCAGAAGGCCCCCAGTTGACCACTGTCGAGGAGGCCTTCACCAGCGAGAACTGGATCATCCGGATTTACAAGGTCAAGGACCTTGACAACTTTGGCCGCGATCACAGTAGCGCGGTCGCTTTCGACAAGGGCCACAAGAAGAAGCGTGCGACAAAGAAGAAAGGGCCCCGAGTTCTGAGAACCGAGTAGAGGCCTGAAGTTCTTTGATTTTCTTTTGACTCCCATCCGCCGTGTTTCTTATCGATCCCACATTGCAGGATCCTCCGGTGTCAACTCTGTATTTTTTAATTCTGTCGTCTCATGTGCCTCCTTGTTTTTGTTCTTCTTTTGTATACATGTGTAGAACGTGATAAAATGGACTGAGAGTTTGCACCATGGAGCCAGTTTCATCTCAGTTAGGAGTCCTAGGTTCATAGAAGGACCAGGTAGGAAGTGGCGAATGATCCAATTCAAGTAGTATACATCGAAGTAGGCTATTTACACAGCTGAAACGACTTCTTCAGAAGAAGGCCCCCCCCATCATCCCCATCTGCTTGGCTCCCGCCGTCCAATCCTCAATATCTGAATTGCTCTTTTCAAACTGATCTTCAAAGTTTAGTAATTCCGACTGGCAATTCTCGTCTCGACATGCCCATGATATATCTCCAAGCTAATTAACAAATCCAAGAACAATGACGCGATCCATGTACTCCGTAGCCCGATTGAATGATGCAGAATCGACTAGCTCGACAGCACAGCGTTACCTCGAACGCAGTCTGTCTCGCAGAGGGAAAGTGAAAAATCCCTCCCGACTATTTCTGCTCCTGTTGTTTCGGAGCCGCGGGGGCGTCGGGAACCTTCACATCTGCGAACTCTTCCTGGCCAACAGCACGGATTGTGTATGCATCTGCCATTTAACGACGGAGACCCGTTAGTATATCTAAATGATTGTAGGGCTGGTGGTTGGGGGGGGGGGGGGGGTTTTTTTATTTTCCTCGGGGGGGGGGGGGGGGGGGGGGGGGGGGGGTTGTCTTAATCTCTCTGCGTGGGAGATGAGGGGAGGGGCATGGACAGAAAGCATATCTTACAAACGCTGATGGTGAATGCGACAAGAGAAAGTCCGGTCAGAGCATTCTTAACGAGGTATGGTCGTCGGGCGCGCAGCAGAGCAGCACCAGCACGGTAGTCTTTGCCGTAGTAGGTTGAGTTGAAGCTAGAAGAAAAAGCGTCAGTCGGATAATTTTCGATGAAACATCCCCAACATCTGTAGGAAGCTATCATGAGGGGCATGTGGTTTAGACATACATTCCAGTAGCCATTGTGTAGATGAAGTATGAATTGGGGCTTGATCGACCGGAGAGTAATGGGCTGAGGTGGTGGAAGTCGGGACTATCGCGAAGATGCTGGCGAGAGTCTTGGCCCAGCCGAAGACAGGACTGTCAAGGACTATTGCTGGTCGGCGCTCTGCACAAAGATAGCCAACTGATTCGGCCAGGGAAATTGGCGATTTCTTCAAGAAAACGAACAACTGCTGCCTGCTCTAGTGAATCGGATTCGCGGTTCCTCTCCAGACGGTCTTCTTGTGGCTCTCCGTGCTGAGCGGGCTAGCGTGACAACGTCCCTTCAAGAGAGCCTAAGAGTTTCGTCCTCCGCGTCTGTGCAACACTCTGCGCACCATCTCCGCTCAGTCGATCGGAATATAGCTAACGTTGGTTTTGGCGTTGAAAGTCTGCGTCACGTCTTTTTATCTACAGATGATCCGCAGTCGCGTGTCTCGAGCAGCCTGCGTTTCTGGTCGACCTTATTTTGTCTACTACCTTACTAGAACCCCCCTCCCTGTCGGCGTAGACAACACGGTGCAACCGACGCCTCGAGAAGCGCTTTCCATCTTTCCGACCTCTGGGACACTGTCTCAAGATCGTCTAGAAATCCAGCCATCATGGCTCAAATGGGCGACAATCTTGTCGACCAGGTCGCTCAGTTGAACGCGGCCCGCAACCTCGTCCTCGGAGATGCCGCCCTCTATCCCCAGATCGTTCATGGCATCCTACCGATTATCGGCGCTCATTCCCGACTCGAACTTAGGCGATGGGGATCGGACTTTCTAGCAGAGACGTTCGCCAGTCCTGTGCTGGCCACTGCGCAGAAGGATGTGTTGGCGGAGAAGGTGCTACAAACTTTACGGGAGATATTGGAGCTACCAGAAGGCGATGCAGCAGTTCTCAAGAGCGTTGTACAGGCTTCTGCTAGCCTGTATCCTCTGGTATTCAGACATGTGTAGGTGTTGAACGCGTTCCTGTGAAGGGAGAACCACGCATGCGTAGGGAAGAGCGGCTGGGATACTTTGACAGACGTATTCCTTTCTGTTGGACACGGTGCTAACAGCTGGGCCTATTTATAGTATTAATCACCCGGCAGCTACTGCAATATGGGAGTCCATGACAGCCATCAAACAGAATATTCTCCAACGATGGGACAATTTCCCTACGGCCGTCAAAATATGCTGTGTCAAGTTCGTGCAGCGCATCATCCAAGTTCAGACCCCTGGCTTGATCTCAGACCCGAGAGTAAGTATCAGTAGAAAAGGCGCGACTGGCTGTGGACTGACCACCACTTTGTAGCGACCAGAACAGAACGAAACCTCCCTGGCCATCGTTCCTCGCGGCCACGCCCTTTTGACAATCCCGAACCTGGAGGCAGAATCCTCGGGACTACTCGATAGACTGCTATCTGTCTTCCAGGAGAATTCAAGGTGCGAATGGTACAACGGTTTAGACAGATGGGAGGCTAATAATGGCAAAAAGTGACCCTTTATTCGTGAATGCGACACTCAACTGTCTGTCCGTCCTCATCCGAACCCGACAATCGATTTCCAACAAGATAATCAGCGCCATTCTCAGTTTCAATCCCCATAAACAAGTAAATGGCCCAATGACCCCGTCTTTGCGCGTTGGTCTCAAGTCAATGGAGAGAACGACTAGGTCGCTGTTGGTCAATATTATGAAGAGGTTCGTGGCCGGACATCGTTCCATCCAGGTTTAGGGGGCATGCTGATTGTTCTCACAGAAGCCCTAATCATCCGTTGGCGGGTAAGATGCAACAGCACATTGAACGCATGGCCCAATCTCGTGTGGAGGCCCTGGACGAGATCTCTCGCAAGCGTACACTCCCCGGGGAGACGATAGATAGCCTTGAAAGTGCCAAACGTGCCAGAATGGACGCACCGACACCGCCGACAGTCAAGATTCCGCCTTTGCCCCAGGGTCCAATCAGCTATTCCCAACTCTTTACTCTGACAGAAGATGCCGGCCTGTCCTCGTTCGACGTAAAACAACTGCCTATGGATCTGATTGTCCGGATCACGGTTCCGGTGCTTGCACGAATTGACCCATCTGTCTTCAGTCAAGCTCTGGAGGGTATCCGCAATCGATACCAAACATTGAGCCAGCAGCAAGCTGCGTCACGACAACCTGCAGCGGTAGAGGAAGAGGAGGATGACTATGAGCCGGAATACCAACCGATGGATGTGTCAGACCTAGGCCCTGACCAGCCAGACGCCACAAAACCCGAAGTGGATGAGTTCCAGCCTGATATCGTATCACTTGGCCCATTTGTTCTTCCACAACCACCACCCTTAACAGAGGACGAGGCAGGCGAGCTTGGTCGCAGCGCGGCCACTCGTGTATTTAGCATGCTCGGAGCTCCAGACTTGTCTTCTCAGCCGGGGAAAGCACAGCAACGTCCCCTGGGGTTTTCCAGGCTGGCGGGAAGTACGTTTGACCGTGACGCATGGGCGACGTTGCTCACCAGACTTGCCACGCGAGCCCCGGCTGGCCTTGAGGTCGACACGGGTGACACCAAGACTGACCGCGGCTTGCAAAAGAAACCTACTGTCTCAGACACGGTGCGCGAGACGCTGTACCGGTACATCCTCGAGGATTTCCGGTCGAGGCTCAACCTCGGCATCTCCTGGCTCAACGAAGAATGGTACAACGACCGCATTCAACTCCGCTTTGCTGCGACTCAGCGCGGCGAAGAAGACTCGGATGAGCCCTCTGTCCCGCTGCACTACGATCGCTGGGTTGTCCGCCTACTTGACGGGATATTACCGTACCTCGACTCTCGTGACCTCAAGGTTCTCGTGCGCTTCCTCAGCGAGATACCCGAGATGACCATCCCGGTCGCGCAGCGAGTCGCGAGTCTCGCCAAGGATCCCGAACGAGTGAACCTTTGCGTGCAAGCCTTGCTGTATGTTTGCATCTTCCATTTTCCAAGGCATTTAACCATTTCTGACACGCAGACAGGTATCTGATCATGTTCCGCCCCCCCGCGAGAGAGATGTGCTTAAACACTCTTGAGGATGTCTACAACACTTGTTCGTCTTCCTTCCCCCACTTCTCTTTCTCTAATGATATCAGTCTAACAACGAGCGCAGATGAGGAATCCAGGCCTGTCGCCGGCAAGATCCTTGTAAAATGGCGACCGGCCGCGGTCGAGACACAGCAATCTGAAACCCCCGCAGAAACGTCGCAACAATAATTTATATCGATATAGATGAGTGGTAAAGCTATCGAGACATGCGGCCATGGACATCGTGTATTTTATAGTGTACTTCATGGGAATTGTACAATAACTGGACTTGTTAGGCAATACTAGAACACCTGTTCAGGAGTAACTGGCAGCTAGAGTTAACTATCAATTACAAATATTCCAAGAAACACGTATACATGATGACATGATTGGATTCAGGTTTGTTTTCTCCAAGCTATGATCCAACTATGAAACAAATGTCATTGGCGAACTCCGATTTAGAAAAAGAAGAAAAAAGAACCCGTATATGCACCATACCGTTCTCCATACACCTGCAGAAAGCGAAAAGGGATTTGGGGGGGGGATACAGCATGTGTATCATGGTCCTTGATCAAGCAGTGATCGCAGGACAGTCCAATCAATGCGAATGCATCATCCAATTGTCCATCCTATCTGGTCTGGTCTGAACCTTCTTTCCATGAGAATGAACGAAGAGAAAGATCGTAAGCGCCTGAGTGGAGACATGGAATAGAGATGGAGAGGGAGAGGGAGAGGGAGAGGGAGAGGGAGAGAGAGAGAGAGAGAGAGAGGAAAGGGAAATGAAAAGGAAGAAGAAAGAAAAGGTATATGGAACAGAAAACATGGCGTGGCTCCTTTTTATTGAAAATTTGAATGATACATCCAACATACATACATCCTCTTTTCGTCCGTTAGTAAAAGTATGATTGCAGTAGACTACAATCGAGGGCGGTTTGCCGTTTTTATCGCGCTGGCCCTGAGCCTGACGGAATGCCTGCTGAAGCATGGAGACCGCTGACCCGGCCTGCAGGCGGAGGCAAGGGTGGTGACGAGTCCCGTTTGGACACGGCCGAGTGGAAGAGCCCAAGTCTGTTTGCTGGCGGAGGGGAGTAGATTGGGTGTCGAGAGGGGTGGTCGGCCCTCATCTCATGAGTACCAACAAACTTATTGCGTTCCGGAGCATGGATCCCGCCGTGGAGGTGGGGTTTCCGCACGTCCAGTGGGGAGGAACTCAGCGACCGAAACCCGGACTTCCTTTCAGTCTCATATTCGGCGCCGGTATTTCCAAATGGCCCATGAGGCTGTTGGCGCTGTGGCTCCTGCTCCGTCCCATACGGCGTGTTTGCGGCTGAAGAATTGGCGGCTGAGAGGTTTTCGGGAATAGTGGAGGCGGATCCATTTGGAGCGTTAATATCGACAACCCGTTTCTGCGCCGCGGGGGTGGTGAAGGGAGGAGCTTGGGAATGCTCAAATCCGCGCTGCTGCATCCGCCCTTGCGCTTGTTGCTGATGGATCGGATGCTGGGGATTCGCCCAGGGCGTGTGCTCTAAGAATTCTTCTTCCGCCGTAGGACGACCCAGGTTGGTCGGCATGCCCGATACGGCCCCGCGTGATAAGGCAGAGTGCTGCTGCGAGACTGAAAGCCTACTCTCCAAAGCGATCTTAACACACATGTCAGCATTACGGTTCCCTATTCTTGAAACG